GGGCAGCGTCCTGTGTGATAGGATGGAGAGGAGCCCCAAGGAGAGAGCGGGAGGGCAGGACTGCTCAGGGGAGAAGGAACTTGCAGGGCTTGAGACCCTCAGGCACCAGCTGGTCCAGCTGCCTCCTTTTAGCGCTGGGAGCTTTGAGGCCCATGTTGGGAAGGTAACTTGTCCAAGGTAACACAGCAAGTTAAGAAGGTGAGAGTAGATTAAACAGCCAGGTCGGTGACTCAAGACAAAGAAGCAGGAGAGGAAAGGGGACCTGGGACTGAGAGGAAAAAGAGCTCCACTGAGGCAGGCAGGAAACCTGGGGAGGACAGACAGAGAGAGAAAGGAATCTGGAAGTGCAGGGGACGTGAGCAAGAGAAGAAAGAGTCTCTTTCTTAAAGGCCCAAATGCATATAAGCCCTGGGAGTTTTGGTGAAGTTCAGGCCATTACTAAGGGTGTGAAGGGGGTGGTAAATTGAGACCAGAGTGTAGCAGTAAAGGAAGTTGCTCCCCAGCCTGTAGGGAGGTCTCCTGTCTGCAGCCTGTCAGAAGGCCCCTAGGGGAGTGTCTCATCTGTGAGCCTGGACCAGGTTCTCCACGGTGTAGGCTGCTGGGGAGAGAGAAGCTGAGTTAGATAGAAAGGAACCAGGAGAATGCTGTGTGCCAGGAACCGTGGGGGTGTCCTGAGAGCAAAGGCACATATATCTAAGCCTCAGTCACTGCCAACTAGGGAGCAACTCTGGCTGTTGGGAAATGGGACGCAGCCCCGAAACAGAACGAGCACAGTGCAGGACAGACCAACTGCCAAGAGGCCTGGACAAAGGGATGATGTGTGTCCTGGCTAGGAGGAGGGAAGAGGCAGCTGGCTGCTGGGGGTAGTCAGGAAAGCTGTGGAAAAGACAAAACTTGAGTAGTGCTATTGGTTTAAGTGGGGTGGGAGGACAGGCTCAGGGAAAGTGGTCTGCCTTAGTTTCCTTGTAAATAGCATAGGAATACCATTAGTTACAGCACCTTCCATCCAGGGTATGAGAGTGTTCAGGGAATGAGCCACATGATTTCCTGGAATGGGGAACGTTTATGTTCTCCTGAGTGGGAGGAAACCTATGGAATCAGTGAGTCTGCCGGAAGTTCCATCTTGGGTCTTGGTTTGTGGGAAAAGGATGGCCTACCCACAGGAAGATAGTGGCCCATTTTACAGAGAAAAGCATGAGCCCAGTTCTTTTTTTTTTAAGATGGATGATCTAAGCATTCTTTGAATTTTTTCAATGTGTTCCTTTCTCTTAAGATCAGGTTCCTGCTCTTTACTTTCTCAACTAAGCTACAAGGGCTTGCACTATCCTTAAGGAATTTTGGGTATGATGGGTCTGGAAGGAAAAAAGCAAGCCTCGGGGATGCCAATACGGATAGCCTGCGGTAACCTGTGCCCTGGAACCTGCAGTCTTCCTAAGGATACAATTCTTGGAGTATGATACTCCTTGTCTACTTTCTACTTATCTTTATCTCTTCTATCCTATCTCAAGTTCCCCCTTAACTAGCACTGACTTTCCGAAAATCCCATGCCACCATTGAAAGTCTGTTTTCTAGGGCTGCTTCCAAATTCTACACTGCAAAGTGATATAGACAGGCCCCAGTGGTGACAATGACCATGAAAAGAACAGAAAAATTGTGACTGCTTGGTGACTGCAATGGTAGTGAGAGACCAGGTGAAAGGAGATCCCAGAGACCATTCCTGGGTTTCAGCCGAAATAGGGAGGATGGAAAGAAGAGCAAGTTTGAAGGTTTGAAAGAAATGTGATCTTAGTTTGGACATACTGGACTTAAGATTAGAGTAACAAACACATGGTAGTGAAAATACATATCCAGGAGATGGTGAGAAATGAGGACCTGGATTCTGGGAACCATTTCCAGGGCACTGGAGGCTGCTCTTTAGAGTTTTAGGGGCTGGCACAAGGTGACACTTGAAGGAAATGTTCACAGGAGACCCTGATTTCCATGGCTCCGTCAGTGAAAAGTTGTAGCTTTGTCCCTGGTCTCTGCAACAGTTCTAGGCCCTGGCAGGAAGCCAGCCCACTTCCCCTCCAGATTACCCTGGCTGCTAGTAGTTTTCTTTCTTTGCTCTGTCCTTCTCCTCTGCTCTCAGGGAGTCTCTCACAACTTACAAAATCATCCTAGTGATCTCATCACTGCCCAATTACTACCCATTTCCTCTCCTGCTCCCTGGAGTTAAAATTTTTTGGTTGTATTATATACCCAGGCATGGTATGGTAGCACATGCCTATAATCCCAGCCATCGGGAGGCTGAGGCTGGAGGACCTCCCAGAGTTGGAGGTCAGCCTGGGCTTCATAGAGACCCTGACCCCGCTTTGTGTTGTACAGTTTAAATATGTCAAGTAAAAAATGCTTTGAAACACACTTGCAATAGGTTGCATTTCATTTAGTCCTATAATTAGGAGTCAAGACCTAAGAGCTGGCATGAACGTTTGTGAGATCTGAAATAAACCAGTAGTGCTGCTGATGCGATGTGGTGGTGATGGCGTTGGCAGGCAGCCACAAATCTCCAAAGCTAACACTTTGGAAAGCCACAATTTCCAAGAATCACTGACACTAAAAAAGGCCAACTCCCTGGGGCAAGAGGATAGGATCTATTTTATAACCTCTTCAAAATGGGTGATTTCCAAAATCTTGGCCATACTAGGAAACAAACTCATTTCATTCAGCCATCACTGACTGAGCATGAGCTCATGTGCCCTAGCTGGGTCAGTCAGTAACTCTGATCTACAGAACTCAGATCTCACAGTCTTGCCTTGGGAACAGGGCAGTATGTGGAAGGCTGCATGCCTCCTGGCTATGGGCAGAATGTCAAAACTGGGCACTCCTGAGGCAAGACAGCATCTGCTGAGGACAGTTGTTAGTATCTAGGCATTTGGGTGTAGAGAAAATCCGGTTCCTTATTAACTGAATCCTTATCCCCTCATTCTCTGTAGTTTCTGTTCTATGAAATGTGTGCTACTCTTTCCTCTGTCCTTCTCACTGGCTAATAAAAGTGGATCAACCAAGGAGTTCACTGAGTCTGTCCACTACAGGCAGGTCTCCTCCCAATACCCCCCTTATATCTTGAAAGTTGTCTCTGTCTCTTTTATTCCCCATTGTTTCCTCCCAACAGGTAGCTGAGGGTCTGATCAACCCTCAGTACCTTGCACATGCCAACCCAGATAGGAGTTCAAGCCTGTGGGAGTCTTTTTTTTTTGGTACCGGGGATCAAACTTGGGACCTTGCGCTTGTGAGGCAGGCAGCTGAACCACTGAGCTAAATCCCCAGCCCTCTTTTTTTTTGAAGCAAAATATTTATTGGTACATTTTAGATATACATAACACTCATCTTAGGGAATTTGCACCTGTACATGATATAGCCTGCCTCTTTTTTTCCCCATCCCCCACTCCAGTCAACTCCCCCTCCCCTCCCTGTATACAAAAGCTTTGTTTCCATTTTTCCTTCTATTTTCACTTTTTTCTTGACCCTTCCTTCCTTTTCCCCTCCCTCCTCCCTTGTTCCCATCCCATTTGAACATTTTCTTCCCATTTCCCAATATCTGTTACACATTTTAGTCCTTTTTTCCACTTTTAGTTTCTCACACCAGAGAAACAATGTGGTATTAAACAATGTGTTCAACTTACTTTATTTAAGAGTACGGTCTAGGGGTCAGGTATATAGCTCAGCGGCAGTATGGCTGCCTGGCAAGCACAAGGCCCTGAGTTAGATCCCCAGCACCAGGAAAAAAACCCAAAAAACAAAAAACAAGTGTGGTCTCAAGATGCATCTATAAATGTCTCAAATTCATCCTTCTTCATGGCAGAGTAGTGCTCCATTATATAAAACTCCCATATTTTCTTTATCCATTTGTTGGTTGATAGGCATTTGGGCTGTTTCCAAGCTTTAGCTATTACAAACTGTGCTGCTATAAACACATCTATGCATATATCACTGTGGTATGATGCTTTTAATTCTTTTGGGAAGATACCAAGAAGGGGAATAGCTGGGTCAAGCAGAACCTCTAGTTTTAGTTTTTTGAGGAATCTCCACAGATTTCCAAAGTGGTCGCGCCAGTCTATATTTCCACCAACAGTGGAGAAGGGTTCCTTTTTCCCCACAGCCCTCCAGCATTTGTTATTCATTGATTTCTTTTTTTTTTTGGTACCAGGGATCGAACTTGGGTCCTTGCGCTTGCACAGCAGGAGGCGAAACCACTGAGCTAAATCCCCGGCCCTGTTATTCATTGATTTCTTGATAACAGCCATTCTTTCTGGAGATGGAATCTCAGCATTGTTTTAATTTGCATCTCGAATGACTAGTGCTGTTGAACATTTTTTCCTACACTTATTTGCTATTTCTACTTCTTCATCTAAGAAGTGTCTATTCATTTCGGATGTCCATTTTTGGATTGGGTCTTTAAATTGGGGGGGGGTCTGATTCCCCCCCCCCCCACTAGGAATCAAACTCAGGACCTTGCACTTGCCAGGCAGGTGTGGTGCCACTGAGCTAAATCCCCAGCCCTGGAAGATCTGATTTTTTGAGTTCTTTATATATTCTAAATAGTAGTCCTTTGCCTGAAAAATAGCTGGCAAAATTTTTTTCCACACTGTGGGTTGTCTCTTCACTTTGTTGGTGGTTTCTTTTGCTGTGTAAAAGCTATTTAATGAGATCTCAGTTGTTGATTCTTTGTGATAGTTCCTGTGCAATTGGGTTTTGGCCATAAAGTCTTTCCCCATTGTCTTCTATAATTCTACCTATTCTACCAGCAGACTGTTTCTGTTTTAATATTTAGACCTTTGATCCATTTCAATTTTAGTGTATGGTGAAAGACATGGTTCTAGTTTCAATCTTCAGAATGTGGAAAGTCAGTTTTTCCAGTATCATTTATTAAACAGGCTGTTTTCCAGTAAAGATGTTTGGCTCCCTTGTCAAAGATAAGGTGGCTGAGTATGTCTGGAGTTGTTTCTGCGACTTCTAATCTGTTCGTTCCGTTGATCCTCAGGTCTGGTTTTTTGTTTTTTTTTTTTTTCCAGTACCATGCTGTTTTTAATCACAGTAGGCTTGTGGGGGACTCCTGAGTCAAGGTCCCTTACTCCTCAAATGCAAGCAATTTTTTTCCCTTTCAGGTATAAAAGTTCAGGGACCAACCTCCCTGGATTTGAGGCCCAGTCCTCCTTTCCCCAAGTCTTGTTGCTTTGTCACTCCTAAGCAAACTCCTGGCCTCATGTCCTTTCCTTGAAAACTAATCAGACATTGAGCTCTGTAAGCACCCCTCCATCATGTCACTCCTTCTGAGTTCCCCCAGGTGACACTTTGTCTTCCTTCCCACATACTTTTCCATCCAAGGTTTTTTCAAGCCTTGTCAGTTCTTAGCTGAGTCTTGTTTGGTCCAGGAGAATATTTTTTCTTTCAATTCTTCCAGGCACTAGGCCAAATGACCCATTCAAGGCTGATAAAGACTTGCCTGACCTAGGCACAGGAAGTTCTGAGAGGTGAAGGACATTTCTGGTTACTTCTAAAATAAGTCCTTTCCTTCTTGGCCGATCCCAGGATATACTAGAGTCCACAGTCTGACATGCAGAAAGCATGGCCAGGTTATCTTCTGGACCTCTGTTTCCTTCTTTATTTTTGTTTTTGTTTTTTGGTACCAGGGATTGAACTCGGGACCTTGTGCTTGCGAGACAGGCACCAGAACCACTGAGATAAATCCCTGGCGCTGTTTCCTTCTTTATAAAATGATCCTGAAGGCATCCTTCAGTTGTGATAATGTAAGATACTGTATATCTGGGTCAGGTGGTTTTACAACAGCCTTGGAAATCTGAAGTATTTTCCAAGGACTTCTCTGTAATCTGCAATACAGAAAAGGCCAGCCTAGAGGTACTGCTTATTTTAAAAAGGAAGTTGTCTTAGTTACTTTTCTTGTTGCTGAGACAAAATACCCAACACCCAAAGTTAAAGGGGGAAAGGTTTATCTAGCTGTTTGTAGAGGTTTCAGTCTATAATCGGCTGGCTCCAAGGCAGGGTAGCATGGTGGGCAGAGGGGCAACAGTTCATGGTGGACATAAAACAGCAAAAGCAAGCAAGCAAGGGACCTTAACAGCATCATTCTGCCCCCTTTATCTTATTCAGACTACTTAGGGCGGGCAGCACTCACACCGTTAATCCTAGTACCCTCAGGCCTAGCATTGCACCATGAATCAATCACACACTCAACATTTAGCCACCTCTGAAAAAGCCCCACCAATAACCACATGAGGCTTTGAGGGGACATCTAGACCCAAACCATAACAGAGGTCTAGTGCTGATTAAACAGTAGACCTAAGTGTCTGGTTGGACTTGGGTCTGCTTCAAATTTCCAGGAAACATGAAGCATAATGATATGTAATCCTTTAAGACCTAGACCTTCACTCTCCAAGCAGAGCTGGGAACAGAGCAGCTCAGAAGGGATGAACAGGGAGAACACGTCTGGGTTTCCCCCAGTGTTACTCAGGAGGGCTTTGGGCTTGGGATTCTAAATATGAACTTCTGGGAAATGGTGGGGCTCAAGGGAGAGGTGGAGGGAGGGCAGAACTACAAACCAAACTGGAATTGGGTTTAGGAGCCACTGTCCTGAAAGAGGGAGAGGGGTGATGGGACAAACTGTGGATGGTTTCTGGCCAGGAAAGCTGATTTGGGAGAGTGCAACCCTGGCTCACTGTGTACACACGAGGCACGAGGCACGCTGGTTAGTGCCCCATGGCGGCTCCGGTAGTTTTTTTTGGCTCAGAGAAGCAGAGGCCTCCCGGGAGCCCTGGCCCCCCTCTACCGCAAAGCAACTGGCTTCCATTACCCCTGACAGATCCACTGTAACAGCCCAGTCCCCGGCCCTGTCTGGCTCCTCGCCGTTCCCTTTTATGGTGAAGCTCAGAGAAAGCAAGGAGTGAGGGGGAGAAGGTTCTAGATGGGCAGAAGGTTGCAGAACGCCAGGGTGCTACTCCCCTCACTAGGAACCGTTGGCCGCCTACCGCAGCCACGCTTTTAGCCTTTTTCGGACGAACCGGCGACCTTTCTTGGTTGCCTTGGCCTTTTCTCCCGTCGCCCCTCCCTCACATCCGGGGGGTGATTTCCCACTTGGCCTAGGCCCCAGAGTTTGGGTGTTGATTCGGGGTGGGTCCGCCATTCCCGACGCCCACCTAGAGGAGTGGGGTGGAAGCAGGGATCCCGCCTAAAGGAGGCCCTGGTCAGATCACAGGGTCGGCCTACTTGGTCGACGAGGTCGGAAAGGCTGGCCCGGCGAGAGGAGCAGCGGGAGCCCCAGCCCGGACCCATTTTGCGCCTCCTTCCACGGCGTTCCCGCCGCCCGAGCCAGGGAGGGGACCGTGAGGGCAGGACCCAAAGGAAGCACCTGGCTGGGCCGGGCCGGGAAGTGAAGGGTGGGCAGCAGTGCGGGGGGTCGGGGCAGGAAGGGGGCTGGGACCTGCGACCCGGCCGTCTCCCGCCCGGCCCCGCCGCCGCAACCTAGCCATTCCTCGGCTCCGCAGAGGAGGCCGCCGCTGCTTCGCGTCCTGGGCAGCACCAGCTGCGGCCAGCTGCGAGGCTCCGGGCTGAAGCACGTTTCCGCGCCCCCGCCCACCCCCGCAGCGGGACGACCTCTCGGGCCCGGCCCGAGACCCCACCCTTTGCGCCCGCGGCGCTAGAGCAGGCGAGATGACGGGGCTAGAGTGGCCGGTCCGACCCGCCGCCCGGCCGGAAGTGCCTGGTAGGGTCCCCGCTGGCGTTACGAAGTTCCGGCTCGGGTAGCTGAGCTCGAGCTCGTACGTAGGCCGCTTTGAAGCCGCGGCGAAGTGCAGTGGAGCTGCTCAGGTGAGGCGCGCAGGCTCTGTCTCAGAGGCCTGGCCTCGCTCCTGGCCTGGGCGAGGAACGCGCCGGCCCTAGGTTCAGCCCCTCCTCTTCTTCGCAGGATGGTCACGGACGTGCAGCTCGCCATATTTGCCAACATGCTGGGCGTGTCGCTCTTCTTGCTTGTCGTTCTCTATCACTACGTGGCTGTCAACAATCCCAAGAAACAGGAATGAAAGTGGCGCTTTCTCTGCCCCAGGTAACGGTCTGGGGCTCTAGCGCCCAGCCCCGGAGAGCTCAGTGGTGAGGTCGTGCCAGGGCCTGAAGGGTTCGAAATCTGAAACCAGATAGTATCAGGCCGAGCATGCTAGTCCAGTACTGGGCCCCTTTTTCCGCAGAGTGCCCTGCCCCTTCTCCCTGCTGGAATGGGGGCGGGTTTCCCAATTCTCAGTCCCCATCTTCCTGGGGTTCTCCGAAGGTGGATGCTCATGTTGGAGTATGGTTAACGGTTACAGGGAGGTGCTGGCACCGGTAGGAACAAGGGTAGATACTGAGGTGCCATCCAGGAGGAGGCTTTGAGCTCTTTCCTTAAATAGCCTCCACTTTTCCAAGGTTGTTGAGGTTTTACTTAGGCAGATTTTTTTTTTTTTTTTTTGAGAGGGAGTGAAAGATGTAGGCTTTTATTTTCAAGTTCTGAGGCCAGGGGTATTGTTTCAGGGTTTGGCTACTGCAGACCCACGGCAGACAGGAAGGGTGGGAGGATCTGAGGAACCAGCCTTAAGTGCGGGTCAGAAATGAAAAGGGTACAGGTGCATGGGAGTGGACTCCTGAAGGATTCCCCAGAGGAAAGCTGCGGCATTTTCCTTACCTCAGGTCTTTCCCCCTCTTTTCTAGGGTTCCAGGACATAGTCTGAGGCCAGATGGAGGGAGTGAGGGGCCTTCACACTTCACCTCATCCCTTCTGCCCATCACAACATACAAAGCAACTACACCCGGATTTTTCCAAACAAGTTTTATTTCCTCAAAGTCTTCTTAACCTTATGGAACGAGAAGCTGTCACTGAATAGGGTCCAGTATGGGGGCTGCTTTCTTTTCTACTCTCTCCCCCCAAATACAAAAATATAGATATATATATATTTTGTGGTCCCAAACTCTTGTGCTGTGGAGGGAGGGAAAGGGTAGTAAGTCCCTGTTTTGTACTGTGTCAATGTGAAGCTCTGCAACGCTTCAGACAGTGGGGCTGGTATTCCAGGAGTTATGGTTGTCCCATGGAATGAGCAGCTGAGAGAGGGCACTAGCATATTTTTCACTGTGTTCCCCATTTTGGGCATTAAGGTAAAGGCATTTTCAGACCCGGGGAGAAATTGTGAGTGGAGGAGATTTAGGGACAAAACAAACCTCAGGTTGGCCCAAGGGGCCCCCGCTGTAACAAGTCCGAGATGGAGAGTCAGATAAAGTACAGGAAATAGGAGAAAAGCCAGGGGCAGAGTGGGGCCGTGGGGGGCCGGCCTGAGGCAGCCTGCAACAGAGAGAGGAATCAGGGTTGTGGAAACTGCCCCTCTTCCGGTCTGTTAGCCAGGGGCTGGGAGGTGAAAGGAAGAGAGATGAAGACGGGAAAGGACAGGCAGGTTGGTTACTGCACAAAGGTCTGATGCTGGAACTAGCTTGGTCCTAGGCCTTAGGCCCTAACCTGAAGTTGTTTTCTTATCCTTTCAAGTGAAGACTGAGGCCATGATGGAATAAAAGTCGGGGACAGGATTCTTGATGAAAGTACATTTAGTTAAAGGGAATAAGGAAGGAGGAAAATTATCCTGAATGGCCGAAATGGGGATGGAAGAAATGAGGGGTGGGGCAAAGGACTGGACCCTGTTGCTCACCCTGGTGTAGCAGAGTGGGGTCCCGGCTGTGGCTCATTGCTCTCTCTGGTCCTGGGGACAGGGGATGTGGGGCCTGAAGAGCCTCTTATCCCTCTGCGAGCTGGCGGTGAGCTCCGGCCCAACCTGGGCCTAGCCTGTGTGGACAGGAGTAGGATAAGAGGCTGGCTTCTTCTGTGAGCTTTTCTGCTTCTAGAGTTTCCATGCATAGGGCCTAGTATAGGAGTCAGCAGAGGAACCAGGACCTTGAATTTCTGGGCATTGTCCTGAGAGGATGAGGCAGGATAACAGCTCCTGCATTCACTTCATGACAAATGCTTTCCAAGTCTTATGTAACTAGGGGTGGCAAAAGCATCCAACATTTAGGCTTCATGAGTAGATATGCCAAGGTCTGGCTGAGTAGAGTAGCACTGTAGAAAGATGATGGAGGACTAGTAGATCTCCCTTAGAGCCTTCTAGGCCTCAGCTCCTGCCACAGCAGCTTACGTTTCACCCATCCAGTCAGCTTCTGTGTATACCCAACTTTAGCTAAATACACATAGCGATCAGGACTGTACTGGATTGGTAGGACTATTCCTAGGAGCAGCAACCAGATGTTACCTGGGGAATCCGGGACCCCTCCTGGCGGAAACTCTCCTCTGGCAAGTCTGGGCAGAAAGAGAGGAGAAGCTAAGGGCAGGGGCAGGGAAAGCCGAAGCTAGCACACTGAGGTATATCTGGCAGGGACAGTGGGGTTAGAAGCAAGCAAGACATCTAGCTGATGGGATTGGGGTGGGACCAGGCGGGTAAGCACTCAGGCACCAGAGCAGCTCTCTGATAGGGCTGGAAGTAGAAAGTGTAAAGCAGGGCTGAGCATTTTCCTTCCCACTCCCCAGGTGAACAGAGCCTTGCTGGGTTCTGCCAGGTGTTACACTAGAAACTGCGGAAGACCCAAATCTGTTACCTGCAGTCGAGTCCTGATACAGGGTATCCGAGCACTAGTTCCTAGTAGACCTTTCCCAATCACCATGACAGACTCTTGCTTGTCCTCTGAAGATAAGAGTGAACAGCTGCTAGCTAGAGAGCAGAGGAAAATGATTATCAGGGTAGGGGCCAAGGAGGAAGTAACTTCAACCTTGGCACTTTTTTTTTGGCAGTGCAGGGGATTGAACAAAGGGCTTTGCCACTGAGCTATACCCCCAGCTCCCAATCTTGGAATTAATGAAGTGGGTTAGATAATCCTTGGCTGGAGGAGTTATGGAAACTAGGATGTTTAGCATCCTATATCCTGCCAGGCCCTTCCCCATTGTAACAACGAACCATGCCTCCAAGATGTTGCCAGATGTTCCTGGGGGGCAGAATCACCCCAGTGAGGCCACTCTGGTCCAGAAGCTGGAGAAGCAACTTTTGGCTACAATCAACCCACCCAAGCATAAATACCGTGTAAATTTATAGACCCCAGGCCTACCCTAGTCATATTTTAAGGCATTTAAGGAACAAGTCCACTCTACCCAAGACCTATACTGAAGGGTTCCTCTTAAGAGTAGACAGATTGAGAGTGGCTCTGGGTAAGGGAGACGCTGTTAGACTGGAGTCTTAGAAATCAATGCTATCCAGTCCTTTCCACAGCTGTGTCTATAAAAGGACAGGAGATGGCTTAATTCTTTTTTTTCCGGTACTGGGGCTCAAACTTGGGACCTTGCACTTGCAAAGCAGGCAGCGGAACCACTGAGCTAAATCCCTGGCCCTAGTAGATAGCTTAAGTTTTGTGTGGATGACAGGATGACATTTGCAGTGACGACAGACGACAGACATGCTGATTTTTTCATTCTCCATTGTCTTTTTTTTGGTACTCGGGATTGAACTCGGGACCTTGTGCTTGTGAGGCAGGCAGCGGAACCACTGAGCTAAATCCCTGGACCCTCTCTATTATTGTCTAATGTTGCCCAGTTCCTGGAATCGGTAAACTTGAGTAAGTAGCATTTGGCAGGTAGAAAAAGTTTTCAAGTTCCTCAACTGTAAAAATGAGGATTAAATTAGATAAAGCATGTAAAGCCATGCCTGGCAGATAGTAATGTTAAGTGTTATTTTACAAAAACATTTCATTAAAATTCCAGCCTTCTGTACAAAGGCACAGGTGTTAGGGCTTTAGGATACCAGGAGGATAATAATGTGACAAGTCTGGAGTGGCCTGCAGTACATGAAGTCAAAAAGGAAGTTCAGGTTAAGTGGCAGCATAGCCAGAGATTTCTTCAGGCCTAGTTGGGAGCCTGGTGTAAGCCCTGGATGGCACAGAAAAGAGGAGGCTGGCCAACCCAGACTTCAGGGGCAGTGGATACAGACCTGATACGCTGAGTGAACTGGGCAGTAGGCAGGAGCCCAGGCTGTGTGACGAGGCTGGGCCAGAACTAGCAGGGGTTGGGCTCGTGGCCGGGGCCAGGGCCAGGCTGCTTGCAGTAGAGCTATGGGTCTGTGGCTGCCGCCACCGTCTCCTGTCCTGGCTTCGGGGTTCTGAGGGGAAAGGACACAAGCAGGTGAAAGGTCAAATAGGTGAGGACTATGAATAGCCTTCACTGACCTGTTGACTCCGTTGTCAGAAGATGCCTGTTTGCAGAGTTGTCATTAGACCAGCTCCTCTCTTCTGAAGTAACTAGGATGAGGTGACTTCTAATATTTATTCTAGTTATCCAATTCTCAGCTAGCCTTCGTTGTACCTGTTCATTATTTTAGCAAGAAGTTACTGAACTTGGCTTCTAAAACAGTTTTCCAAGGTTCTCTTGTTACCTCTGACTCTTCTTCTACCTCTTAAATGTCAATGTTCCCCACCATTCTGTCCTTGGTCTTCTTGCTCTGGTTATTTTTTATTTTTATTTTTTTGGTACCAGGGATTGAACTCTGGTCCTTGAGCTTGCGCAGCAGGTGGCAAAACCACTGAGCTAAATTTCCGGTGGCCCCTGCTCTGCTTACTTTGAAACTCCCAAATCTCTCTCTAGTCCTTTTCTCCTGAAATCCAGCCCTGACTGTCCACTGGACATTTCTACCTGGAAGTCCCCCATGACCAAATCAAACTCATTCTCTCCCTCTCTTTCATTCCATCTTGGTGAAAACCTATCTGCTAGAAATCATATCATCTTTCTACTCCTCCCTTACATTTAAATTTGAGTTTAATCAAATCTTTACAGTTCTACCTCTGCAGTCGCCAGTGTTCAGACACAGGTCTTTAATTCTCATTCAGATTTTGGAAAGTTTCCCTACTTGTCTCCCTGGCTTTACTCTTTTCCCTCTAAACCATCCTTCCTTCACACAATCACCACAAATTTTTCTGAAACAAGAACTTGGTAAAAAAGCACTGGCTTAGGCAAAGGGGAATACTGAAAGTAGGGACGGAGTACTGGCCATTGAAGCCAGGGCCTTCACACTGACCTACATCCCCAGCCCCAGCTCCCTTTTTAAAATTGTTTATTTTGGGACGGGGTCTTGGTAAATTGCTGCTGAGTTGCCCAGGTTGGCCTGGAACTTGGGATCCTCCTGCTTCAGCCTACCAGGGTGCTGGATTATAGGCATGTACCACCATACCTGGCTTATTCTTTTGAGACAGCACCTAAGTTGCCTAGGTGGCCCTTGAAGTTGTGCTCCTCTTCCCTCAGCCATCATACCCAGCTTGAAGGTCTTTTAAAGGATAAGGCCTACACTTTTTAACACAGCACATGCAGAGCCCTGCCCACTGAGGTTCTAGTCACGTAGCCTTAGTGGGATGCTGACTTCATTCCTTATATCATCTTAGATACCCTCTACTGCTACTACCTGTGTGAGTTCTTTGGTATTTCTCTTTCATTTCTAATGAAACCTTGGCTATCTTCTGTGCCCCATCTCAAACGTCACCTCTATATAATCCAAAACAAAAAATGAAATCAAATGTCATCTCCATAAGGCTCCTTGAACATTACAGGCAGAATTAAATTAGTTCTCTCATTACTTCCTTTGTTCACATGGCTATCACTGCTTATGGATCAGTCATCCTTGAGTGTAACTTTACACTGGGGCAGCCCTCTCTGGTGTGTCCTTGTGGCTGTGGCCTCACTAGTACAAGTCTGAAGGTGGAGTCCCAGTGGGACAGATGAGGGATGGGTGGGTAGGAAGGCTTGCAGGCTGGGCAGGTCCGTCCTCACCCTACTCCAAGAAATGGGAAGAGAAAAAAATAAGAAAATGAGTGAAAGCCCTTAGGACATTTGTAGTTCTAGTGATAAACTGAATGTCACTCCAGAAGACAAGCAAAGCAGTTAAAGGATATACAAAATGTAAAATGGAGAAGAGATCATGGGAAAGATACTATGGCTATAATCCAGGAATCCTGCCTCTATCAGTTTCAAGAAAGGGGACAAAGTCTGATTTAGAAGAGAAGCTTGATTTGGAAAGTACAGTAAGTTCCTGACTTAACAAACATCCGAGTTGCAAACAGGTAATATTTGTAGGTGCATACAGAGTGCAGAAGTAGCTCATGTGTCTGCTGGACACTGTCACAGTTGGGCTGCTGTGTGCTTACTGTACAGTTCGATAGTGTACAGTGCTCCATCAGCCCAGGATGTCTGGAAGCAAGAGGAAAAGCCGTGGTGATGTGGAGGGGACTGCTAGGAAGTACAAAGCAATATACATTGTATATTTGTGCCAAAGGTGTGTAGGACCCCCTTTGTTGGACTTAAGAACAAATCTGACTGATGAACATTCTCCCGGAACACAACTTGTTCCTAAGTTGGGCACTTACTGTATCAGGCCTTTAAAGACAGCACTCTAAAATCAGTCATCAGTTAAGACTGCCTGAAGACCTGGCCAAGCTTGCCTGTAATTTGTCAATGAGAATGCACAACCCACTTTATCATGTTTTGACTTTTGACCCCCGGTATCATCCAGGCTTACTCAGTCCCTGTTGAAACAAGAAAGAAAAGGAGCCTCAATTCTCTATTTCTTGCTTCTGAGTGACAGAAACAGTTGAAGGCTGAATGCTTGTGATCTGCTTTGCTTCTAGAGATTATAAGGTGGTATTTTATGATAATCAGCTGTAAGCTCCATTTTGGGGGTGGCATGAGTCCTAGAGCCAAGGTCTGAGAGCTCGAGCCAGGGTGACCTCACCGAGTATGACTTAGAACGGATGTCCTGAGGCCTCCAGGATCCTGAGAAAGTGCTTTCTCACATGGAGTGCCCTGGTTGCCTCGCCTGTCTCCTGCAAGTCTACCTTTAACAAAGCTGCTGCTTTCCCTCACCCTCAGCCTGGCAGACCTTCTCAGACTCTGCTTGCAGCAGCTTTTGTATCTTGCAGGCTTCTGCTTTCTCCTTCACTGTATTAGCTGTTCTGCAGTGACATCCTCTTCCCTCACAGCCACTGCGGCTACTGACGGTATTTTCTGTGCTTCTGAAATGGAGGGTGGCAGCTTCGCTGCAAGTCCAGGCAGTGGTACTTACAGTATGTTTTGCAGCCAGGGAGAACCAGATAGAGAAGACTCCAGTGTTATTGTCAGCGGTGCTGGAGTCCAGAGTCACTCAGAACTTTTCAGCCTCCTGACCCAGAACTTCTGTTCGCACCAGGCTGGCTACTCCTGGGCCTTGTGTATAACTTCCTAGCTTCAGGACAGAACCTGTCAGGCTCATTCGCTGAATCTGCCCGAAGCTTCTGGCTGGACTGCCTAGATCTTTCTTGAAATTCCCTGGATAGCCCATTGTGATTGTTATAGCTAATAAAAGAGTCAATTAAACTTTTAAATGTGATATAATTTGTATTATAATTATAATTTGTACATTAGTGGAAACTTCGTATAAATTCACAAATCAAAAAATCTCGTCAAGGGGGCTGGGATTTAGCTCAGTGGATTCGTCACCTGCTGTGCAAGCGCAAGGACCTGAGTTCAATCCCCGGTACCAAAAAAAAAAAAAAAATCGTCAAATCATAATCTCAATTTTTTTAGAGATAAAGTACAATTACTGAGCAGTGACAGTGTCATAATTTTTATGTCAGTCTCATCCCTCAAACGCCCAATTTTCGATTCGGAAAGTATAGCTACTTTACAGTTACAATTTCTGAGATATGGGGGTCAATGTTCTAGCTTAAACAACAAAATATAGCTAGATGTGTAGAACCAGGAAATGGCACAAAGAAACAGCATGGGACAGATAACACAGAATAAAAACATTTCCTGAGGGTTGGGTGAAGATGCCGAGTTCAGATGCCAGAGTCTGTATCACAGCCCCTATCCCAAACCAAGGCCAGGCTCCCAGCTTGGAATCTTACAGGATGAAGCCACAAAAATCATTGCCAGTAAATGCTCAGGGGAACACAGAAGTCAAGATGTCTGGGGCCTCATCTTCCAACTCCTTGCAGTACCCTTGTTTAGTATTATTAGTAACTCTCAACTTGATGCCTTGTCTTTAGAGACACAGTTTACTAATGCTTATAAATGTTTATCCAAGACCCTGGAGTGTCCCTGTATTCCAGCCAGGTTTTTCTGCCTCTAAGCTCACTGACCCCAGGGAAACATGCCTTCTCCCTTGGTTTCCACTGGCTCCTGTATGTGGATCTTCCTTACCCCCAGTTCTTTTTCTACCTGCAGGGTCTCTCCATTTGGATAGCCTAAGAAGCATCTACAGTAGTTAACACTTTATTCCTTGGCTTGCAGCCTTGAAGCCCTCTAGTTCCTTTCTCCCACCATATCTGAATTCTGTCATTTGTTTCTAATACTTGGGTTAGGCTGTAGTTAGCTCATGTGTAAACTACTACAAGGCTTCCACCTCCCCTTTCCTATCCAGTATGTACAATCCAGAGTAATCTTTCTTTTGTTCCCATGGTTCTTAGAAGCACAGTTACCTCATAATCTTTGAGTTTTAAGATAACTCAACTTAGAGCCGTGGATTTAGCTCAGTGATTCCGCCGCCTGCCTTGCAAGCGCAAGGACCCGAGTTTGATCCCTGGTACCAAAAAAACCCCCAAACACAACATACCTCAACTTCTCACCTCTCCCCATCCAGTTTACTGGATGAAGTGCCACATATACATGCTTTAATCCTCTCTACCCAGGAGCTCTGTCTTGGTCCTGCCACTATTTCTCATTCTGAAATGTTTTTGTTAAACCATACCCTACTTGTATACAAAAACTTTCTCCACTGAGCATTCTGTTGGTTAATTACTGTGTTGATCTACAGTAGCCTTCCAGGTGTCCTGGATGTTTATAATATGTGTATGCTTTTATGTTGTATTTACTGTCCTGTTTCCTCCATTAATTTCAAGTCAGCCAACCAGAAATCACTTAGTACCGAGACTGCACAATTTCTCTTAGTTATCTGGGGAAGAAACAAATAGAATGTGTCCCTCATCTCAAGGAGCTCAACGCAGCACCTGCCTCAGGAGGGGGCTAGGGAGAAGTCAATAAAATACTGATTAAAAACTGCCTAGATGGGCTGGGGATTTAGCTCAGTGGTTCTGCCGCCTGACGCGCAAGTGCAAGGACCCAAGTTCGATTCCCAGTACAAGAAAAAACCAACAACTGCCTAGACTCCTCCAGTGAAGACCTAGAAAAGGCTCCTTACTATTTCCCTTTGCTGTCAGGAGAGGAGGATTTATGATGCTGATCAAAGAACTGCCAAGAATTAAAGAGTTACGACCTAGGAGAGCCTGAACAAAAGAGGAAGAAGGAAGGAAAGTGAAACAAGAAGAAAAACTTAATCCAGATTTAAGTTAGAAAACTTAGGTATACTGGAACATGAGAAGGCATAAATTGGAAGTATGGCCACTGAACAGCTGTGCAAACGGACAAGGCACTTTTTTTTTTCAATACTGGGAATCAAACTCAGGACTTTGCGCTTGCCAGGCAGGCGTGGTGCCACTGAGCTGAATCCCTGGCCACAAGACACTCCCTTCCCCCACTTTCTTCCCCCGGTACCAGAGATCAAACTCAGGATCTTGCACTTGTGAGGCAGGCGTAGGGCCAATGAGCTAAATCCCCGGCTCTACAAGACACTTTTAAGAAGCCTAAGTTTCTTCATTAGAAAACTGGGCCAGGTGTGGTGACACACACCTGTAATCCCAGCACTTGGGGGGCTAAGGCTGAGGCAGGAGGATCGCAGCAAATTCAAGGCCTGGGCTACATAGTGAGTTCCAGGCTCACCTAGACTACACAGCGAGACCCTGTCTCCAAAAAAAAAGGTCTCACAGGTCCTGCTGAGAACTAAGTGAAATTATTTATGTGCTATTGTCTTGTTCACTATTAAATGCTCCTTACACATAAGGTATTATTATTACTTTAATACTGCCTTTCAAACAGTGCACGAAAGTGTCCTCTTCCAACAAAGACAATCTCAAAGAGTGGGGTTTGGAATATAAACAGAACCAAGTTGAGTAACAGGGACAGAACATCTTAATATTCAAAGCTGGTAAGCACCATTGCTCTCTGGCTTCTCTAGGACAGTCAGAATTCTGGCCACTCACCCAGTGTGCATCACATATGTTCCAAATAAGTACCAGAGAAATGCTGAAAGACCAGCAGAGCTCTCAGCTCTAGCTTACAAGCCTCCGTTCTCACGTATAACACGGATTTGTCGTGTAGCGCATTTCCAGAAATGGTGCAATAACAGCCTCCTCTTCCACAGTCCAGCTTACTCTCGGTTACTTTCTTCTTCCTCCCTCAAGAGTCATCTCTTACTGGTATACATTTTTGACCCAGAATCTCTTTATCAGGCCAAATCGAGGTATGGGTGAGGGACAGTTGATTGTTGGTCCCCATAGCCAGAAGAGGTGTTGGTTTGTGACCCTAGAATAGAATTCCCTTTTTCCTGGGATGAGTTGGAATCCTGATACTGCTTTCTGAATAAGCTCTGAAGCCAGGAGCAATTTTAGCCCATAAAGACCATGGTCAGGATCCCTCCTCATTCTACTGCTGAGATTTGGATTCTGAGAACATTTCCTTCTACTATCCCCAGGAAGACAAACTGACATTGTCCTTGATGTGGAAGCTCCAGGTCTGTTTGGCAGTGTTTCAGCTACGTTTCTTCCTTGGAAACTGCTGAAGCTCAGATCCCCAGGACTCCCACTTACAGCCAGCCACACACAATACCGCTCTTGAGTCATGCCGCATGGAACACCAAGGTCGCAGGAGAGGCTGCAAATTCTGCTAGAGACTAATTTTATTGATTCACCCCTTGATTCTGGGCCAAGTGTACGTCTTCAAGCTCTCACTTCCCCCAGCAATGCCCCAAACAACCGAACACCTGCTGCAAGGGCTCCCAGACTGGCTTACCTCTGACAGGGCCCAGCACCCGATGGCTGACTTTTTGGGTGCTAGTGCCCAGGCCCGGCAGCCCTGCAGGCCGACTGCCATGAAAAGGAAAGCTGGGGGAATTCTTCATCTGTGGAGAATTCTGTTGGCTGCTGTTGCTACCACCAGCACTTGTGCCGGTGCTAAAACTTCGCGCCCGGCTCAAGGTGTTTTCAGAGCAGGAAATGGGCAGTCCACTGCAAAGAAGCAGATGTCAGTTAACCCTGTGCCAGGAAGGCTGTATCCCAGGCTTTCTTCAGGGTCTGATGTTCAGTAAATCCTGACCTTTGGGGTAAAAAGGCATGGGAACCCATTCCCAGGAGGAAGAGAGGACCTCATGTCCATGGATGAAGTACCTAGCCTGGGGCATAGCATCAGAATGCGAAGTACCGAGTGGCTTTTTCTCCCTTACAGCCTTGGCACGGGCCCTTGAACTCCCTTCAGTCAGTCATGCAGAACCTTTACAAGCACTCCCGCCTACCCCAAGACTACAGTGAGATTAGAGTCTGTGTAGGGCTTGGGAGCAAGGGATCCCTGGTCTCATTTTCAGATCTCTTAGAAATATGTAGGTCTCAGTGAAAGGGAAGAGAATCTCATTCTCAAAAAATGGAACTAATCTTACTAATTTTAATTTACCCAGAAAATACTTACCATATGGCACTTTTAAGAGGAAGGAAAAAATACAAATCACTGGGAACCCTTTGCTGTAGGGCCCTGCCCACTCCTACCCTCTTTCCCTTGCAGGCTGCTGGTCTTACTTGTTATTTTTGGGTGGAGTCCGAGGGCCCCTCTTGTGGACACCCGAATTCACAGTGCTGCTTAGGCCGCGACTGTTGCGCACATGTTTTAGCATCCAGGCCCTTAGGTTAGTGAGGCTGTTGTGCTCTGACAGCACAATTCGGGGCCATGGATTACATTCTGCCATGTCCAGAGCTGCGATGGCCATAGCTCGTCCCACCTGTAAGGAAGTCATTTGGCTCAACATTTTTGTTCTCTAATCTGGGCTGCCTTGTTGGGCTGGGGTACACAACACAGTGGAAGGTAAGAAGAGGCCAGACCCAAAATCTGATCACTGTGTATCCTTATTTTTGTGCTCGGGATGTTTATCTTGAAATTTAGAGCCATTCCCTAAGCTGCTGCTCATTTGGGAACCCTCATCCATTATTAGCAAGAGATAGACTGCTTTCTGGCTGGCACCATGAAGAAATTCCCTCAACAGAAAGGATTTGGATCTCTTCCTTAACTGAAACTCTTTCTACTCTTAGGTGTCCAAAGATAACCGTGGTCATCAAGACCAATAAGATGGGGGTTGCTTCTGAGCCCAGGAGAATGAGAGACACAAGCTCAGAGGCAGAGAATCTGACTAAGGTGGTTGGGGCAGAGGTCCTCAGCCCCCAGACCATGGACAGGTCTGTCTCCTGTTAAGAACCAGGCCACACCACAGGTGAGCGGACAGGTGAGCGAGCGAGCGAGCAAAGCATCTATTTACAGCTGCTCCCATCTTACATTACGGCCTGAGCTCCACCTCCTGTCACATCAGCACTGGCATTAGATTCTCACAGCAGCGTGATCCTACTGTGAACTGTACATGTGAGTGATCTAGGTTGTGAGCACCTTATGAGAATCTAATACCTGATGATCCAAGTGGAGTTGAGGCAGTGATGCTAGCGCTGGGGAGTAGCTGCAAAGACAGATTAACATTAGCAGAGGTTTGGGGCAGGGATTTAGCTCAGTGGTGCCACTGCCTGCCTTGCAAGTGCAAGGTCCTGAATTCAATCCCCCATCCAAAACCCCCCCACAAAAACATTAGTAGAGGTTTGAATGCATAGTAAAAGTAATGCTCTGAATCATCCTGAAACCACTCCTCCCACCCCGCTCTGGCTATGGAAAAGCTGTTTTCTAGGAAACTGCCCCTGTTGCCAAAAAGGTTGGGGATCGCCTTGCTAGGGGACTCTCTGGGGTTTGGGATCACAAACTGTGCCTGCTCATTCTCTTGATACGACTGCAGTCAGAGCCATGCTCCTGCTAACTTGAGGACATTAAGCTCAGTGCTGATATGGCACAATGGGGAGTGTCTCTGCAGAGGACCTAAGAGTTGGGCAGCAAGAATAATGGCCTTTCCAGTCTGAAGTTCCCCACTTTCCCACTTATTCCATGAATTGATTTATACCTGCTCAAATAGCTCCACAGTGTATCTGGAGGGGAAGGCCGGCGGGGGAGGGGGGCTGGCACGCCCATTGTCATGGCAGGCAGCAGGGATGCTGTTTATTGAGCGTCCAGTGTTGTAGTTGCATTCAAGTGTGTAGCTAAGACACAGAAACCTGTATCAGTACCCTGCCTGAATGGATATCAGGACACAACCATGGGAGACAGCTCAGATGGTCTAAGAAGGTAACCACTTGAAAAAAGTGAACCCAAACAGAAAGTGCTGTAATCCCCAGCAACTACTACCAACTAACCTTGGCACTACACTCTGTACCCAGGAAGTCCCAGAAAAGTAGAGTCTAAGTCTAAAGACAATCTTGTTGTTTGTGAGGCTCTTTTGACAAGACTTGGGAGGTCCTGGCCCCTCAAACACCCTGGACTGAGTATTGTTTTCTTTAGGGAAGCATTTCCTCAACTTTATCCCAGTTTCCACCCAACCTGTGGATTATCCCTGAGGCTTTGTAGATTGCAACACGGCCGCTTCCCTCTTTGGACTGGCCATCTCTACGGTCTCGGGCATACATGTTCTTCTCTGAGAAATTGCAGCCCTGGAAGTCAAAGTGGGCTGAATTCAAGGAGATGAGCTTTGGATATAGCATGTTTTCCACCTGTTTGGGGGAGGAAAAAGGCAGCTCAGAAGGAGAAGCAGGAGGAAGGGACAAGGAGCAAGGAAGAGAGGGCAAACATGGGGCCATGTGACTCAGTATACAGCAGATACCATCACACTTAGCAGTGATCACTGTTTCTGGAACTCTCACTGTTGGGCATTATTGCTAGGCATAAGGAAGGTTTAATTCTACCTCCTTTTAACTTCTTAGCTTCTTCCCTCCAGTAATGCAAAATTTCCTTCTCTCCTGCTTCCTCAAACTCTAGGAAACACTGCACTGCTGGCAGATTGATCCTCACTTAGAGTCATGATGTAATTTCCGAGGCACAAGGTCCCAGTGCCATCTCTTCTTGCAGACCACCTCTGCATAAGCCTTCTTGCCAAAAGGCTACCTTCCCTCCCTGACTGTGGCCTGATCCTGTCTCCTAACCTGCAACACTTCCCACACGAACACGACATCTTTAGGATGCATACCTGGGTGTTCTCATCACTAAAGCTGTTTCCATACATGAAGCAGCCCCTTTTGGAAGCATGTCCATGCAGGTCCACATAGTAAGCAACGCCACTCTCTTTGGGGGGGATGGTATCAGGGGCTGGCTCCTCAGGCTCAGCAGATTGTTGTGGGATAATCCACACACGGTTGCCCTTCTGTTCTGCTGGCTCTGTCTGGGTCCAGGTCTCATGGTTATCCCCGTCAGATGACTGCCCAAGGGGAGCTTCATTGTGGAGATTGTTGGCTTTCTCAAGGTCAGAAAAGGGGGCATCAGGAGGGAGACAGGGACTGGGCTGCTGCTCAGGGGAGCTCTGGGAGTTCAGGCGAGAGTGCACGTGGTGGTAGAGAAGCACAGCTTTAGCCCCATAGATGGCTGGGTGCAGCACAGCATCAGGCTTCAGGTACTGACGATTCAGATTTACTCCACGTGAGTCCGTGCTATAGGAAAACAAGGATGGAAAAGGGGTCTAGAGCCCTGGGCCAGCAAGAAAGGCTAGATGACAAGGTCACGAGGAGACTGACTTGTCAACAAGAGGGGGAAGAAAGAAAGAATTGAGAACAGGGTCCCTCCTTGACTGACCTGCTGTCACCCCTACTGTAGAACGGTTAAGAGTGCAAGAGGATTGGGAACATAGCAGAAGCTAGAAGGCTCTCGGTTTCACGGAGAAGCGGGGCAGAGGGGGACTGGGCACAATCCAGAAAGGCTGGGAAGGCTACTTACCGGTAGTGACCCCGGACCACACCATCAGGGTTCAGCATGGGAATCAGCTTAAAGACAAAAAGGCGACGTAGGGTTTGGGCTCGAGGGTCATCCGGCCGAAGGATGAAGTCCAAAAAGCCATTGAAGACAAAACTAGATGGAGTCTCCCCAGGGTGTACTCTACTGCTTAAGAAGAAGATCTGCGATAGATAGGAGAACAGACATTAGGTCAGTTATGCTAGAGTTCCACTCTGATGTATATGGGGGAGAGATAAGCAAAGCAGGAAGAACCCCTGGACTTCAGCTGGCTGAGTATGTGTGCAGGGGGAGCTCTTGCCTCAGGATGTGGGCTCGCCTCTTCAGGCCTACAGGCAGCCTTAAACTCTCCACAGTGCCTAGAACTGGAGAAAGGGCACAGTACTACCTTTAGAATATCTCCACTCACCCTTTTGCCTGTGAAATGGAATGGTCGAGGGGTGCTGGTATCAGGAAATAGCTGCTCTAGACGGGGCTCTCGATCTTCTTGAAGGCCATGGCAGGAAGTGATTGTTAGCAGGTCTACCCGAAGTCCATCCAGAGAATAGCAAAGGAGTTCCCGGTGGTAATAGATGGTATCCAGGGGACTGCAGGGACAAAAATCATTAAGGCAAGAGAAATCCTTAACATCCTAGCAAGAAGAAGTCCTCGTCACTAGCTCAGGACTTGTAGAATCTGGTCCTTCACCCTAACCTCTGGTGCCCTACAATCCCTCATACTGTTATATGAGGCTAAGGATTTGGGTGGGTTTGCATTGCCAGAATAGGGGTGCACTTATTATTTTCCCCCAGTTTTTGGCCCCCCAGGATAGATAACTTCGTGTAGACAGAAGAGTTGCCTTCAGTGGGGCAGATGCAGAGATGTGCTGGGCATCGGCAGTGCTGGCTACGTTCCGAGTACCAATGAGAGCTGGGATTGTAAGAGGCCTGAAGGGGGAAGGTGGAAGAGTAGAGTGTGGGTGGTGGTATGCTGAGATCAGGGTCACGGAGAAATACAGTTTCCAGGCGTACCCAAAGTCCCATGTTCTACACAGAAAAAAGACTGATGAAGTTTTGGTTCAGAGCTCTTAGGGCAAATTCCAGCAGTAGCAGAAGTGCTCTCATCCAGGATGGTGTGCAGGAGTAAGAGGGGTTGGCACCTGCTATGGGTAGGGCAGTTCTCTGGAAAGCGCTGGTCTAGCTGGTTTAGCAAATCCTGGCAGTCACTGTAGGAGAAGGGGTAGCAGAAGGCGAAGAAGGTGGTAGCCCCGCGGCCTTCCACAAAACGGTGAACAAAGGACAACACAAACTTCGTCTCTGTCATCTGAGGGGCAGAGGAAGAAGGGGCAACATAGGTCCACATCAGAATCGAGCTGCTGTTGAGGCCCATGAACAGGCTTCACAACCTTCTCATCCTTACCAGCTTCCCTCGCTGTGATCCCTTCCATGGCAACCCGCTCTTCCGGCTTCCCAAGACAAGACTCATCCTAGGCTCCAGCTAGTGCTCAAGGGAAGCTGACCCCCAAACCTGGGGTCCTGCCTGCTTATTCCTCTCTATCAAATACAAATTTCTTGTTTATTTTTCTCTACTTGTAAACACCCAAGCCCTTTTCCTCCTCGTGGAAAACTTACCTCAAAAGTGGGCCGGTCTCGAATGCGCTCCCAGCGCGGCCGGCTGGGCAGTGTGCGCACAAAGGGGGCCATGCCCTGGGAATACAGCTTGCTCTGCTTGTTCATGTTCATAATGTTGATTTTGATGAGTTTCCCTGGAGTTCCTCCCCGGACACTGAAGTAGAACCATGATCTGCAGGCCAGAGGAGGAGAGATAGTCATTTTATAGGGGCAGGGTGGGGGGGATCCATGGGACAGCTGGAGCAAGGCAAACTGGCAGAGGGCTATTTACCAAGAAGAGGGAAGAGGGCTTGGAAGAGGAAAGGTACTGCCTTGGGATGAACAGGTAAGTCAGTGGGCAAACTGAAGTATCGATCTGGGTACTGCACATTCCTTCTTCTCCTGCCCTCCGTTTTTTTCCTCATACCTGTTCCCATTCTCGAATTCCGTCTCAGCACAGTCTGGCCGGGTCCACACATTGAACTCATAGTCAGGGGAAGAAGTGACGCCACCAGTGGGGGCTGATGTGACAGCTCCAACTCCTTCCCCATCACTAGACGCGGATTCCACCTTCTCCACATGGGCTAGGTTCCCTGAATCAAAGCGAGAACTGAACAGCAATCCTCCACAGCGCAGCTCCATGACGGGGCCGGGAAAGCATCCTCTTGCACCAGTCTAGCCCTGAGAGCTAGGGGAAAATGATGGTTGGGTAGAAGGGGAAAGAAACAGGAAACAAGGCTTTTAGGAATACATGAGAGCCATTCTTAGGAATGCCCTGCAAAGCAAAAGGTTCTCTTCTTAGAGAACAGGGACAAGACCTTCCAGCAAGGCCAAAAGAAAGCATCGTTCCATACCTCACACTAAGGGTTACCACTGACCTAAAAGGACCCATTTTACTACAGAGCACCTGTTCCCAAATCAGATACCCAAAGGCTGAACAGTTTTGAGAAACACTAGGCTGGAAGCCTTTCTGCAGCTCAGGCGTAAGGGACTAGTGAGGTCAATTTCCCAAACCTAGCGAGGATAACCACAGCACAGGGCCATCTTTACAAATGGACGGCTCTGGGCTGTGTCTTAGGTTGGCTATGCACTTTCCAGCGCAGAGCAGAGCACTGTTGTAATGTGTGAATGAATAGCTTCCTTCACTCCTGTGTGTCCACAAGCACTGACAGAATTCTGCTGTTGCTCCCCCGAGCCCTGGAAGAGCTAGTTCGTTCCTTCTTTTGCCTTTGCTCATCTGCGCCTGCAGCTCCACTCAGGTTAGGGCATGGGTCTGTTTCCATCTCCTAGCCTCCAGGCGCCGCAGCTCTGCCAAAGCTACCCTGGTGGTTGTGGGTAATGGGTACCCTAAGCACCCCTAAAAGATGGAGTCCCTGGGGCTTCTGGACCCTCACCGGTGAAGGACCCTCACATCCCGGGCTTTCCTTGGGCAGGCGAGGTTTGGAGGCACGGGAGGGGTCGACGGACACACTGGAGAGGGTGGGAGGACCCGGGCCGGGGTCTGAGGGGAGGCCACAGGCTAGGGCAGCCGGCCGGGCGCGGGGTGGGAGGTGGCGTCGAGCGGGGCTCGGGCCGAAGGGGCTGCGAAAAGGGGCGGGGCCGCGGTCCACGCAAAGCCCCTCACCTCTCTCCGGACCGGCGCTCCCGCTCCCTCTCCCGCTAGCGAGGCGGCACCTCGGGCCCTAGCACCCGGGTCCTCCACCCAGGAACCAAACAAAACCCTAGAGCCGCTGTGCCCGGACCCCGCTCTGCCAGGAAACAAGAAGTCTCTTGTCTATTGGCCACGGCTGCAGCTGGCTACCAGCCCAGTAAAGCGCGCTGCCATTGGTCAGCGCCGCTCCGCGCACGTTAGCGCTACCTGCGCTTCTGCCATTAGGGGTCTGGCCCCGGCGCCCCGCAGCCCCGTGGGTGCTGCGGCCACGTCTCCTCTCTAGGCAGGTAACGGCCTCCTCCCGGAGGCGGGAAAGGCCAAGTGGCCGAGCGGGACGCCGGAAAAGAATCACCTGCAAGTAAAAGGAAGTCGTGTGAAGTGGGTCAACACCCACCGAGCCCCTCACCGCGATGTATAATGTTGAACGCACCCGTACCCCGGGTTAGCAGCTGTCCCCGCCGCCGTTACGTGTTCACTGCTGTGGTGGCAAAACGTAAGTGGAGGATGCGGGCATCGATCCCGCTACCTCTCGCATGCTAAGCGAGCGCTCTACCATTTGAGCTAATCCCCCAGCTACTAGCTTCTTGCTTCTCTTGGCCTTACGGGTTATTCTCGACTGTCCGCGAACCGCGGATCAACCTCAATTCGAGCTGTTCAGTAGAGTACAGTGGGATCGCTGGCGAGGTTTTGAAAAGCAGACGTATAGTAATCATACATAAACAATAAACCTCACTTCGCGGTGTAAGTCAGTGTATCTTTGCATGTGATGTACAAACACGGTGTAGCGTACGCCGAACACTTAGTGCACCCACGCAGCAGCGTAGCAACCGCCCCCCAGGGGTAGGGTAACCCTCCCCAAAGGGTAATCGATCTGAGGTAATGCTAAAAAGATACATGAAGTCCTTCGAGCCGGAATCGAACCAGCGACCTAAGGATTACTACAGGGAATCTGCTACAGTCCTCCGCTCTACCAACTGAGCTATCGAAGGCCTCACTGACTAAAACTTTGGCTGAGTTCTCCTAATGCTTACCAAGCCCGCGTTTTTCTGCGTTTCGAGGGATTTCGAAGCGCCTGTCTCGAGCTCCAGTTTTCAAGCAAAGAGGCCCCAGAGCCCCTACGGGCCTCACAAAGCAGAGGAAACCGGAGACAGAAAAAAGGGGGAGAGACGCTGCCCAGAGCCCGGCTCCCGGGGCGCAGGAGACCCGGGCAATGTGCTTCCCTGACGTTTCTTTGTTTTTTCACAAAACGCTACCAACACCCAGTGGAGCACCCTCGGGGTCGCGAACGCTCAGCTGGTCGGAGCCTGAGCTCCTGGGCGGGCGTCTTCCTCTGCGCCGCTCGCAGCTGGCTCCACCACCGCGGGATCTCGCCAGCGGCTCCGGCCCGGCCGTGAAACGCTTGCCTTCTTGGTGCGAGTATTATAGGCAGCTAAATTAGATAAAAATTAATACACAGTCACTGAGGCACTGGGCTGTCAAGGAAGTCAGCAGAAAAATGAAGACATCAGAATTGTGGCTTGAGGCGCATCTGAAGACCAGGCCTCAAAGACGCAATGGCCCGGCCTGCACGCCTCCCTGAGCGATGAGCAGTAACTGGGATTACACTCTAATTGGCACCAGCTGGTCCGGGAAGACCAGCTTAGGCATCAGTCGCCCAGGTGGGTGACCAGAGCATCTGGACTCGTTTCTTCCCCCGAATGCCTTTGTTCTTCCCGTGTACCCTCGCTAAGTGACCGCTTCCCTATTGGATCAATATTAGCTAAGCAGCTAAACTCCTAATCCTACAGGTTGATTGTAGTTTGACCCACGTTGCACCCGCCTTGTGACTTGGCTGTAGAAATCACCCCTGACAAAGGGCCTCCTCAGTGGTAACTCATTCAGGATCCCTCCTGTCTCTTAGGAGATATTCCTATTCCCCAATAAACATTTTCTACTCTTAAACTCCCTTGTCCCTTGGAATTCATTCTTCTATTTCAGAGGACAAGAACTAGGTACATCTGACATCCAGCAGGTTGGGAGTTGTTTTTCTGCTATATCAGTGTGACCTTTTGTGTCTGATTTCTTTCACTTAGCATAATGTTTTGGGGACTCATCCAAGTTGCAGCACGTGTTAGTACTGCATTCCTTTTTATGGCTGAATAATATTCCACCATGTGGATATGCTGTTATTAGTTTATCCATTAATCTATTGGAGGACATTTGGGCTCTTTCCAGCTCTTGGCTGTATAAAGAGATGCTGTGATGGTGCTCTGAACACTTGTGTTCCAGTTTCTATGTGGACGTATGTTCATTTCTCTGGTGTATACCAACGAGTGCAATTTTGAATAACAAACATATCTTTGATTGTTGAAGGACTGTCAAACTCTTTTCCATGTTGCTGTACCATTTTAGATTCCTTCTAGGAAGTTATAAGGGTTCCAATTTTGCCATATCCTTGCCAACACTAATTTTCCATTTAAAAATAATGATAGGCAATATTTCAATAAATTGAACTGTTAATTATTAACACCTTATGTCATTAAAGATATTTTGAAATTGCCATTTGAATAGCCATTTTCCTCTTTTGGTTTCACCACAATTTATCAAAATGTTCATCTTTTTTTTGTTTTGGTACCGGGGATCGACCTCAGGTCCTTACACTTGCAAGGCAGGTGGCAGAACCAATGAGCTAAATCCCTAGCCCAAAATGTTCATCTTTTTGTTGGACATTTAGTTTATATCCAAATTTTCAATATAAATATGCTACCATGAATGTCCTTACAGCTAAATCTTTTTTTTTTTTTTTTTGGTACCAGGGATTGAACTTGGGACCGTATGCTTGTGAGGCTGGCGCCGGAACCACTGAGCTAAATCCCCACCCCTACACTTAAATCTTTACCTGTATTTGTTTACTTCTGTAGACTATATTTTTAAAAGTGAAATTGCTTGGTCAAATAGCATGAGCATTTCAGCATTGATATAAGTTGCCAAACAACTTCCCAGAAGCATACCAAATTCTATAATAGCATTCACGGAGTATATTATTACTTCAAAGAATCTATTGATATGATGGGCAAAACAGTGGCATTTTATTTTAGACTTGCACCTTGAGGGGGGGGATTGAACCCAAGGTCTTCGCTGAGCTATATCCCAGTCATTTGCACTTCTTTACCAATACAGTGAATCTTTCTTAAGTCTATTGTTCATTTGCATTTCTCTTATGAATTATATCTTTTGGGGCCAGGGATTTAGCTCAGTGGTTTCACCACCTGCTGCACAAGCACAAGGACCTGAGTTCGATCTCCGGTACAAAAAAAAAAAATTATGTCTTTTATCTGTATTTTGTTTTTTTGGTACTAGGGATCAAACTCGGGTCCTTGTGCTGTGGGGCAGGCAGCAGAACCACTGAGCTAAATCCCCGTCCTTGTATTTTGTTTGTCTTGAGACAGGGATTCACTATGTAGTCCAGGTTGGCCTTGAACTTGAGGTCGTCCTCCTGCCTCGGCCTCCTGAGTGCTGATTACAGGTGTGCATCACCATGCCTCACCTCCCTTAGGATGCTTCTTATAGTTTGAGTCTAGGGCAACAGAACTGCACAGCCAGTATACACAGAATGCCACTTAGGGAAAAGCAAGGCCCTTGGATCCCCAAGTCCCTTTGGGAGCCATACTGTGAAGCTTGTATAGTAAAAGGATGGATCGCTTTAAGCATCCACTGAATCCCACTCTGCTGGGTGTGGTGGTGCATGCTTGAGACCAACACTCGAGAGGCTGACGCAGGAGGATTGTGAGTCTGAGACCAGCCTGGGCTACACAGCAAGTTCAAGGCCAGTCTAGGTTACACAGCAAGACCCTGTCTAAACACACACACACACACACACACACACACACACACACACACAAACAACAACAAAAACAAAACAAATCCATTCAGTGATAAAACTTTAAAATGCTCAGAAGTCTTTCAAGCATAGAAACATCTGTCTGACAGCTGGGGCATTCTGGAACAGGGCAGGGCAGGCATGCCCATGGGAAAGTTCTCCCTAGGGTGGTGGCACTTGGAGAACGGAGCAGCAGAGCACAGGTGTGACCCCAGCAAGTTTCTGTCTGCAGTACATCGGGCTGTCCTGTTCTCTAGAACTGAAGGTGTGGACAGGGCAAACAAAAAAGGAGTACACCACCTGCCTTGAAAGCGCAAGGTCCTGAGTTCGATCTCCGGTATCAAAAAAAAAAAAAAAAGTACAGAAACTTGCTCTGAGACCTAAGAAAAATGGAGTGTTCAGAAATGAGTTGTGTGTATTCTTCTCAGCCCATCTAAGAGTTGCTAACTAGTAGGAGAGACTCATACTCAAAGTGCCCTTTGGTCTGATGTATGCTATCTGCTAAACTCTGCCTGTGAAGTTACAACATCCAGATGTGGCTCTGCAAGGCGCCAGCTTCCTTCTCTTCCAGCAACACCCGAAGCCTAACAGTGCGGTCACCCCACCCATCGGCACCGCCAGAATACACTGGGGTGCAGACTGCTTTAATTTTCTGGCTCAGCTTGGACTCCTGTTTGTTGACAGCTCTGCAGAAACGAAGTGTCTGGATATCTGGCTTTGCTTTAATGGACAGCAGGCACTGTGCTGGATTACTCTGACAGCAAAGTCTGGAGAATCCCAATACCAGGGTCAGAAAATGATCAAATAAAGCCATTTGAGGTGTCAGAGTCCCTAGGAGAGGCTGTGAAGTCCTCAATTACTTTGAGTTGATAAAGAAAAATGCTGGACCCAGGGATAACAGCTTAACAAGTTAAAGAAGGAATATAAATCTCGGGCACACATTTGAAGCCAAGCTAATATTCATGCCATTCTCAAAACAGCCCAGCACCTTTGGACCCCGAAGACTTGGGACCTTGGCATGGAGCAGTGCCATCTTACTTGTCCTGGGCTGTGCCAACTTGGGCTCACAGAGCCCCTTTCTCTAATTTGCCCTGAATACAGGGCAGTTACAAGGATTTACTAGGGAGGGCTGAACTTGTCCGTGCCCAACCGCTGAGGACAGAGGAAACGGAACCTGTCCTGGGGCCCATGGACACTCCAGCCTAGCAGGTCCACAGGCTGCCCTGGGCCAGGCTGGGCTTCTCCCTGTGAAGGACCGTTATTGGCCAACTGCCACTAGGACAGCAAGGGGTCTCCCAGCATGGGCTACTTACTTTCCAAGAAGGGGAACAAAAGCACGAGAAGCCAAGTCGGGCATGGTGGCACACACCACGGTGGTGGGATGTATCTTTTTTCTTAATATTTGAGCACATACATTACGGAATAATTTTTGTTGTATTAGAAATTGAACCTAGGGCCTTTGCACTGAGCTGCATCCTTACCCCTATTTTTCTTTTGAGACAGACCTCACTAAATTGTCCAGGCTGGGCTTAAATTGCACCTGTAATCCCAGCACTCAGGAGGCTGAGGCAGGAGGATCACTGAATTTGAGGTCAGCCTGAACTACAAAGTGAGAGCTTGTTTCAAAACACAAACAAAAAAAGCATCAGATGCCAGGCTTCACAGTCTTACTTTGGGCCAAGATGTCTCTAATCTTGCTGCTGGAAATGGGGTGTTTCGGCGGATGCCAGGAGGGGAAAGTGGTAACAGGCCACAGGCTCTGCTTTTTGCCATGGGTTTCTGAGGGAGCCGGGTAGCAGCGCATGGCACTGCTTACTTGAGACATTCCAGGAGGGAAAACTGGGGTGAGAACTGAAACGACAGCAGTTACTACTTCTGTCTCAATCCAAAACTAAGGGCAGGGTGACAAGCCCTGGACTCGTGTCTCCTGGGAGTTCTTTTACTTACTGCCTTATAAAATGAACCATTAAATTAAGGTCTGGCCAAGAATTCCCTTAGAAGACTCCTGGCCCCTGCTTTTCAATCGTAAGACATTCAAGTTGCCAGGTGTGATGGTGCATGCCTATAATCCCAGCACCTGGAAGGCTGAGGCAGGAGGATCACCACGAGTTTGAGGACAGCCTGGGCTACAAAGCTGAAGGCCAGCCTGGAACACATGGTAAGACCCTGTCTCAAAAAACAAAACAAAACACTCCAGCTCTCCAGGCAAATCTTGGAACACAAACCAGTTTTAAGTGATAATTAGGGGAGCAGAAGGTATCCGGTTTTGAATGATGGATGTGGGTTTCCCTGCCAGCAGCTCAACTGTACCCGGGCCTATGACCCCAGGAGGGCTCCGGTCCACTCTGCATCCTGTCCCACAGCCATGGGAACTGGACAGGATGCAGAGGCAAGCTAGGAATCCAATCTGTGCCCTTTATTCCACTCAGACCCCCCACCCCTGCCATATGCTGACTCCAGGCCCCAGCAGGCTGATGGGGGCTCTGGTGGCCTGAGGACAGTGACGGGCTGTGCTCTCCAGGTGGACATTGGGGCCTTTCGGCAGGGCCCTCCTGAGGGCAAAGGGGAGTTGAAGCAGGCCTCTTGACGGAGGGGGACAGCGAGGTCCCTGCAGGGCCTGTCCTGGGTGTTTGAGGTATTGCATTTCCACCTGGACCTATGTCCAGTCAGGCAGAAGGGTAGAGGGGAAGCTGCTGTTGGCCACTGTTGTGCTGGATCCTTCTGGAGGTCCCTTCCTTTTTCTGCTGTGGCTAAATTTATGACCAAGAATTAGAAGAGGTGGCTAATAAATCTGCTGAGTCTCATCGTTTTGGAGATGAGCTGCTGGGGCTTCAGGAATGAGACAGAGGGAAGTGGAGAGCAGGAGGCAAAAGAGGACTTGAGAGAGGCTGCTGCCGTAGCACCGAGGCTGGGAGCCGCACACCTGGGCCTGAGAAGTATCCAGTGGACTTGTGGGTGGGAGGCTGAGACCTCTGGCCAACCGCCCACTCACAATGGAAGAACTGGGATAGAGATGGAACTCAGGTACCAAATAACAGAGAGCTGCACCCTTCATCCCCCACAGTCTCAGCTGGCTTGCCTAGGACAGGGACCCATGCCTGGGCAGCAGGGCCTATTGCTGGGATATCATGGTGAGTGCCCAGTCCAAGAAAGCCACTGTGATGTCCTGTAGGCAGAGCCAGGTCCAGTGGGCAGCCTCGCTGAGCTGTATCTTCATGCAATCCCAGGTCACCTCACCTCTGGGAGAAAAGCAGGACATTTTAAGGGGAGGGGTGTGTGTAGGACTGCAGCATAGACCCACAAGCCTCACCCAGAGTGGCTGGGGTGGGTGAGGGGCAGTGTGGCATGAGACTGAACATGAAGCCTGGCCCTGGGGACAGGGAGTGAGGCCACAGAGGGGACCCACTGTACCAGAGCTCTGGGTGAAGGCCTTACCTGCACACCTCGTGGCAGTGCTCCTGGGCCCGGGCCAGGCCCTCAAGCAGCAGGTGCCAGGCGGGCAGCAGCACACTGTGGTACAGAAGCAGGAGCAGCTCCCTCAGGTAATGCAGCCCCTGGTGCAGAGCATCAGGGAGCTGGATCTGCAAGTAGACCACAGGGGATGGCTGGGTCAGCGTGCCTAAGCCCTTGGGATTTCATCCATGTGGGAGACCAGCCTTCTCCGACTCCATTTCCGGCTTACCCTCTGAGAGACACTGGAGAGGCTGTCACTGAACCAGGCCAGGTGGGAGGCACAGTGGGCAGAAAGGAAGCTGACTGTGGAATTGGTGTGGGCCCAGGCCAGTTGCAAGCTGGGCGACACCACAGTAAGCAGGTAGGAGCTGCAGGCTGGCAATGTCTCTTCTAACCAGCTGTAGAGAGGTCATAGGGTAGAAGGGAGGGCTCTGAGATTCCTCCAGGCAGCTCGGCTACCAAAGAGCCAGGAAAAGGGAGGCCACGGGGAAGGGTAACCACAAGCACTTCCTGCTGACTGCAGATGTCTACACACCAAGCCTTTGCGCTCACACCCCTCCTCTCCTGCCTGGGGGCAGCTCACCTGTAGGCCTGCAGGCCGGAAGAGTGGAGCTTGGCACACACTTGCTGGCCAGCAGGCAAGAGACCAGACGACTGCAGCACCCGGCCGGTGAAGGAGGCTGAGGAAGGAGGCTCTGATGAGCTGGGGTGAGGGTGCAGAGACTTGGGAGACAGACATGCAGGTTCCCGGGAGGCACAGGGCGGAGGGCAGAAGTGTGCATGCTCACGGGTCACAGAGCCAGCTTGGTCTGTCCACGGCAGGCTCCGGAGAGGCATGAGGGCCTGGGGGCTGAGTGCCTCCTCCTGGCCAGGTAAGCAGGAGGAACAGGGCACAGGTGGAGTCCTGGACTTAGGTGTCTGGAAGCTTCAGATTCTAGAGTCTACCCTCAGCTTACTAGTTGTGATCTTGTGCTAACTGCAAAGTCTTTCTGAGCCTCCACTGCTCTGGGAGTTAGGCGGAGGCAACACCTTCTTGCATGGTATCACGAATACGCAAGCATTTCTGTGCTACAAAGTTAACAGTCCAATCTGTGGGTCTCATGCTATCTGTGGATAGAAAAGCCCATCTCAACAGTGTCTACTCTGTGGCCCTGAGAACTCAGCAGGCGAACATGAGTGTTGGGGGTGTGGGTTACACCTCTGTGACCCCCTCTGCTCCCCTCTGTGGCTGCCATCACTGCTTACCCTGGAAGGAGCCATGTGACCAGACGTCGCGGCACAGGAGACCCACAGCAAGGACAGGCAGCAACAGCAGCAGCCAGGTCCAGAGTGGCTGTGGCCCCCGGGCCTGCTGCAGCAAGCCCTGGTCAGGAAGGGAAGAGCTGTGGTGAGAGGGGCCCCGAGAGCCAGGCCCAGTGGTGCATACTTGTAATTCTGGGACTCTGGGAGACTGAGGCAGGAGGATTCCAACTTTGAGACCAGCCTGGGCAAATAAGTGACTTGGAGAGACTGTCTCAGAAGTCTTTTAAAAAGGGACAGGGATGCAGCAAAGGACCTGGGTTCAATTCTCAGTGCCAGGGGGGCGGGGGGCTGAACCTGCCACAGTGAGTCCTGGCAGGGAGGTGGTCAGAAGGGAGAGGGAGGCTGGAGCCGGGCCTTCTAGGGAGCGGGTCAAGCCTGCAGGCCAATCCTGAGGCGGCAGGGGCTCCACAGAGGTGGGGCAGGGCTGTGACCCTGGCCCAGGCCAGGAGAGTGAGACAGATGCAGGGCCCTACACGGGTTGCAGAGGCTGGGTGTCACACCTCACAGGCTGTGTCACAGGTGGCCACTTGCTGGGTGTTCCCGCTGCCCCTCTTCAGCAGCTCCTGGTTGGTAAGCTTGAAGGACTGAATGATTTCTTCCAAAGACACGTGCATCTGTAGGACACCAGAAGCTGGGTTGAGAACACGAGACCCTACCTGGGAGGGGATCCGGAGCCTCCGCCCTGCTTCATTTCCAGACCCAGCTTGCAGGGAAGGGAGGACAGCGGCCGAGGGGCAGGAGCCCAGAGCCCGGCCGAAGCCCAGCCTGCCTGTCCTCCAGCTCCTCACCTTCTTGGGGATCTGCTCCCAGGACCTGAGCAGGTGCTCCAGCAGCAGGCTGTGGGGAAGTACAGCCCTCCATCAGGCAACCTACTCGCTCGGCCCTCCTACCCTCCCGTCCCTGTCCTCCATGAGCCCACAGCCCTCCACCCCCGCCCCTAGAGACCCTCTGGGCAATGCTCCCACTCAAACTGAGAGGCTGGAGCTCACAGAACAGGCACCAAGGTGCCCTCTGCTTCTAGGACAGGGATGGCCAGCCTCAGGCTGGGACACAGGAGCTGCTCTGTCTGTGTAGGGCAGAGGCTGGTGACCCCACCCCCACCTGCCTGGACTGGGATAGGTGCTTGGGGTAGAGCTGCCTCCAGACGTTGGTGCTGAGGGGGTCCACAGTCAGGCACTGGATCAGGCTGCCCAGGAGCTGCCCAGGGAACAGGAGAGGCTGCTGAAGGCTTGGTACTGGTGGAGAGGGCAAGTACAGAGGCCACCAGGGTAACCGTCCACCCCAAGGACAGAGAAAGAGCATCAGGACCCAAAAGCTGAGAGGCCGCCAAGCGGGAGGGGCTCTGTGTTAAGAGTGCCAGCTTAGGACTACACGTCCACGAGTGACAGGGCACCAGAGGCCCCCAGGCCTGCATGTGGTGCCCTTCAGGCGCCACTCCTGAGGGCAGAGCAGGAGTGAGCAGGGCAGCGTGCTACGGGAGGGAGCTAAGGGGCGCCAGGGAAAGAAGTCAGCCACCAGCTCCTCACCTCTTTCTTCATCTCACAGGGACAGCTGGGGGTGACTCTGGACAGGAAGGAAGGGAAGTAGATGTGCAGGGTGGATTCTGGCTTCGCTCCAAATGCCAGCACCTTCAGTCGGGGGTAGAGCTGACGCAGCTGCTCCTGCAGGCTGGGAGGGATGAAGAGGCCCATCCCGGCCGCAGGGGGAGTTGCACCCTCTTCCTGCCTCGGGCCTATGCCCTGCCTCATGGGAGAGTCCCTGAGGGCCTCTTGAAGGCTTTTTACTGAGAGGCCCCTTAGAAAATCGGATGAGAGTCATGGACCTTCTCCCTAAGAAAATGCCCGGATGCCAATCACACTCAAGGATTCATTTACATCAAGGGTCCAATGATCCCTTGAAACCCATCTTGGACTTCTAGGCTGCAATCCAGATCCAGGTGGGAGGGGGAGAGGGAAGGGGCATACAGGGCCTGACCTTGCAATGAGGACCCTTCCCAGCAGGTGCACTCAGGGACAGTCCTACCTGGGTGTCAGGGAGTTGTTGGGCATATAGGCGAAGTCCAGGAGTGGGAATAAGTCCTTGGGGCCAATGGTGCCAAAGCCCCTGGTAAGGTTGGGGTGCATCCTATGGGGGAAGGAAGAATCAGGCTTGCTGGAGATCGGCACCCAGGCCAGCTGTTTTGGCCGTGACCCTAGCCCAGCGCACATACAGGAAGCAGGGCATAAACAGTGCCCCGTCCCCTTCCTTCCTCACCGTCACATTCGGAGGTGGGAGGAGCTGGGTCTGATTTTCCTTGTAGCCCTTTCTGCCGAAACAGCCTCGTGCGGACACCCTGGGCTTTCCCCTCGCTGTCCCCCATTACTCACTGGAGCAGCCGATCCAGGTATGCGATGGCAAAGGAAGACAGAGACTTGATGCCCAGCACAGGCAGCATGATCCCCAGCCACACTGCAGACAGAAGTCAGGGAGGAAGCCTCAGGCCTGTCGGCAGGGGACATCAAAGGGGAGTGTCCTGGCTCTGGGATCATTCCCTTACTCCCACTTCCTTCGTACCTTTCAATCCCTCAGTGAGGCTGGCAAAACCTGCTTGCCCCACGGCCCACATGATGGTCAGGCACTTTGCTGGGCGGCTCTGGTGGGACCTCAACAGTTCCAGGAACTGAGGAGACAAGCAGGGAGGGCAGAGCTCTGGAGCACCTCAGAGCCAAGTGGGAAGAGTGACGTCGAGTGGAACAGGAGGGGCAGGCTGAGTGGCAGTGGGGCACGACAGCAGCACGGGGCTGTCATTCAGAGCATGGGCGTCACTGCACTCTACCACCTACTGGTGGACCAGCCTGGAAAAGCTATGAAGCCCCACTGTGGCCGTCTTCCCAGACGAAATGCGAACAGGAGTCCATGCCTCACATATATGCAAAGCAGGCGCACAGCAAGAGCTAACAGTATTATGTCGAACTCCTGGTGTTACAGTCTCCTCTCTTCCCCGGACTGGGTCCAACCGTGTAGATTCTTCCCAGCCTCCCCAGTCCTAGTCATTGGGTCCCCACCATCACATTCATGGCTCACCTTGCCCAGGTTTGTGGTGACAATCTTGGGCTTGTCCTGCAGAATGGCCTGGATACAGATGCGGTAACCGTGTAGTGACTCCCCTAAAGTAATTCATGTTCTTAGACCTATTCACACTACTTGGCATCCCTAACCCGATGTTTCCTTTTTTTGGCAGCTGGGACCCTAGAACTCCTGCCAATGAGTCCTGACCTCTTCTTCCCTTTCCAGAGAGTATTGAGATGAGCATATTTCTCTGCAGGAGGCAGGGAAACAGGAGTAGGCCCCCAAGACCTGATTCTCCATGGGCTCCCCTTACCTGGCGTCTTATCCAGCTCTTGCAGCATCATGAATAGACAGTGGTCAAAAAAGAGCTCCAGAGATGTTGCTGCCTTCGTCAGGAGGCCTCGGACAATCCCACGAAGCTCCCGGCTCACCAGACTGTAGGGATAATCTGGGGCCATTGGCCTCCGCATGAGCCCAGCACCAGGTGTCCCTGACAGTTTGAGTGGAGGGAGAGCCCCCCCCCCCGACCCCGCACTAACGCTGGCATCCTCCCTCTTCCAAGGAAGTCCCAGGCCCACGCATAGCCATGAAGTATAAACCAGGACAGCGAGAGGCAATGGGCTATTAGGAACACACACCCCTTTTACAATTTCCTTGCCCTCGTTTGAGCTGAGGGAGGTGGGAAAACTAACCATGAGGATGATGGCTGAGTGTGGGTTCACTCCGAGGAGCCTGGAGCTTGTAGTTGAGATAGCTCGCCAGGTCCTTCAACCACACGGAAGGGTTCCCAGTGAACACGCTCTGGCTCTTGTCCAGTTCCTTCTGCAGAGCCGCCACATCCAGCTGCCAGAGACACACCTCCATGGTGAGTTGTGAGCAGCCGGAAGGGAAATGGGGGAGGTGAGGGGAAACAGCTCAATGAGTGGTGGTAGAAGAACCAAGGGTTTCTGTTTTTAAGGGAAGTATGTAGAAAGCAACAATTTTACTGTATCCAGACCTTGAGAAAATACAGAACAGGACAGCTGAGAATGCTGTTCTCTTGGGCCTATGTTTGTAGGACCATCACATGTTCAAGGGGAAAAACAAAGGACAAGATGGCTGATGAAAGGCCACTGCTCCCGTGGAAACACAACCAGCTTTTCTGACCCCTCCCTCATGTCCCTGGATCTTCAACACTTTCTTCTCGACAAACCTATGTTTCCCTCTGCATTTTCTATTCCCATTCTGCTCTAAGTGCAAACATTCTGCTCTGTTGGGGTTTCCACCTTTTCCTGATCTTTTCAATTGAAGTGTCCCAAATCCCACAGGTGCCTCAGCTGTGTCTCCTCCCACCTCATCTTCTTTGGTCCTGAAGCCCCTGATCTTTCCATGCCTCAAGTCTAGGCACACTCACCGCTTTCAGCGCCTCCTCCAGGGTACGGAAGCAGCCCTGCTTCTGGCTGTGGCTGGTGACGGTTGCCACCTTCTTTGGCTGCTTCTTATTTGCTGGCTTCTTAGGCTCCACAGCAGGAGGCGGAACCTGTTCCTTATTCTGTCGCTTCATGATTTTCTCAAAGCCCCGCTCATAAAGGGTGCTTGTGGTCTGGATTGGAGCTAGGGTAAAGACAGGCAGAGAAAGAGGGGGCTATCCTTACGTCCCCAAGGACTCACAAGAATAGTGGGCCCTTCCTCCCTCTTTGTCACCAAATTCATCTGCAAGGCTGGCTTTGAACTCCCGAGGATCCTCCTGGCTCAGCTTCCCCAGTGCTGGGATTATAGGCATGTGACACACCATTCCTGGCTCAAAGCCCCGTCTTGTAGGCTACTTAGGAACAGGGCAGGGAGCTCTCATGGTGGCTGCTTTCAGTCATCACAGGGCCACGGCTCTCGCACAGGGACAGGGCAGTTCTTTATTTCACAAACCAAAGAATGTGGGAACTAATAGAGGTGTGGATACAGAGGACTGGCTTCTTTGGTGGATGGCTATCATTCTGGGAGGACAGGTTTTTTTCCATATCGGTTCCACCCCAATTCCTACTGGTTCCGAAGTGTCAACTCTATAATCAACAAGTGGCAAGCTTTCTCCATTCCCCGGGAGGCTGAGGGCACAGCTGCCACTGAGACGAACTCCTGGTGGATCCCAGTGTGCTGGGCCATTTCTCCCACGGCCGGGCCTTCTGCCCGTCCCTCCCCGACCTGCTGGTCGCTTAAGGACTGGGCACTGTCCAGGATCCAGCATGCCTCAGTTCGCGCTCAGACACCTGCCCGGGTCCAGCTAGGGCCGGGACAGGTGGGACGGCTGAGCGCAGCGGCCCGAGCAGCGGGAGAGCAGCGTTCCATTCCCTTCTGACCCGCGATGTCGTTTATGCCGGACCTCAGTTTACCCATCGGTGCGGTGAGGGAGGCCATCTAGCGCGCTCGCCTCTGCCCAGGCAGGGCCGGGTGGGCGGCGGCGGACGGGTACTTACGGGTCAGGTCGTATTTCCACATTCCGTTCGCCTCCCCGAGCGCCCGGCGGTCCCGGCCGCCGCGCCCACCGCCGCCGGCCCCAGGCCGCCGTCCCTTCTTCACCACCTCCCAGCGGCCCTCGCCCGCTGCCTTGGCAGCCATGGCTCCGACCCTCCGCCCCGCCACCTCCCGCTTTCCGGTCGGTGCGGACCGCGCACTGCCACGTCTCCCCACCGCCGCCCCACCCCCTCCGCGCGGGGGATTCTGGGACCCGTAGTATCCGCGGGGCGCCGCGCTCAACCCGCCCCGGCCCGCCGGGACCCAGATCCCGCCCGGAACCTGCTGCGCCGAGGCCGCTGCGTCTGCTGACTTGGAAATGTACTGTTTCCATTTTCCTTGACTTTCCTACGGCATTAGCAGGATGGAATGGAAGCAGTTCTCAGCTGGGGAGAGTTTGAAGATTAAATGCTTCTTTCATTCTAGGAAAGTGCCGGTATTTCTGTTGCTGTGATTGAACTTTAGCTTTGGTGGGCAATAAAATTTTTATTGCGAAAGGACAGGAAAGAGGACGGTCCTGAGGGGAGAGGCACAGTGCTGAGAGGGGACCACGTGGAGAGGCGGGCTCTAATGGGATCCCTTCCGTGGGAGGCCGAGCAAACCCCGGGACAGCACGGGAAACAGCTCTGGCTGCAGACGGTGCCCATCCCAGGTTCCAGATGTGGCGGGGCAGTGGTGGAGAGACCCTGAGCCCAGAAACCGGGCAGGCAGGTTACTGCTCAGCCGCCCACCATCCTGATGGGATCCCTCGCAGTTCCTTTAGTGCCACCTAAGCCCCGGGAGCCTTGCAGCTCCCAGCAGGGGAGGACCAAGCCATGTGCTATTTTGCGTTCATTTATGTTGAGATTCATACCTGTCATTCTGAGTTATAAAGTAGATCTTTTACCTATACTAGAGTTCAAATTCATACAGAAAGTGCCGCGGAGGGACTGATAAGTCCTTCGGAAGGAGATTAGGGCAGAAGCTTTCTAAAGGAGATGGCAGTTGAGATGGGTCCTGAGCAATGGGGGAACTTTACACTGGTGAGTGGAACACTCCAATTGTATGAGACTATTATATTATTATTGTTAAGATTAAGTGAGTCTCACTATGTTGTTCAGGCAGGTCTTGAACTGCTGGGCTGAAATTATCTTCCTGCCTCTCCTGAGCAGCTGGACTAAAGGCACCATGCTCCACTGAATGGGGCTGAGTCCATTAACTTTTTTTTTGTACTGGGGATTGAACTCAGGACCTTGCGCTTTTGAGGCAGGTGTGGTGCCACTGAGCTAAATCCCTGGCCCCTGGCTGAGTCCATTAATTTAAGCCAAGGCTAAGAGGGTAGGAATCGGGAAGTGTGCCAGTGCTTAAGGGGATTTTGGAGGTGATGAGGTTGGAAAGGGATCTGAGCCCATATGCCAAGGGTCTTGCCTGCCCAATCTGGACTTTATCTTCCAGGCCCAGGAAATAGGCATGATCGACTGTTTTGGGAAGGCAAAAGGGGCTGTGTAAAGAATGGGCCGAAGAGGAGGAAAGCAGTGAGAAATGACCCATTCTCAGCCCCATTAAGCCTGACCACGTCTGACCTGGCCTTCAGGATCTCCGAAGTGGAATGCTTTTGCCAAGGATCATACAGTATTTGAGCCAATCATTAATCAGTGTTTCCCAGATTATTGGTTTAGCTTTACTCAGTGACCCCCAAATTCCTCTCCTTCGACCCCTCGCTGTATCCTGTGTCTGATCACAGAAGAGGCTGTTTTCAGGAGGGACACAGAGCTGCCTCTCCATGGGGGCAGAGGTGGGGCTGCTTCATGACGGAGGCTGGGGCACGGGGAGGGGCTTTCTTTCCCATCCGTCACTGGAATAGCCTGGCAGGTTATCTGCAGTAACATGGAATGTAGGGGACAGGAGCCATTCACGTACGATCCAGCAGCATTTCCTGGGCACCTGCTCTGAGACAGGCCCTGTGCTAGGTAGAGCCAGAGATACACCTCACTTGCTCATGAGGAAGACATGACCAAATAGAAATTTACATTCGTATTATATGTGTTATACATTCGTATTAAGTGTTAATGATATACTTAATATGAGGTGCTGGGAAGGCTTGAGGAGGGGACTTCCATCCCCCAGCTTTGGGTATTCGAAGTGCAACCTTAGACATTAGCCACGGTAGTGGGCGTGGCTAGGTGTTTCCCTGAGGGTTGAAGACCCAAAAGATGGGTCAGGTCGGTGTCCAGCATGGGGGCAAGAAGAGGGGTCTCTCTGAGCACTGTTTGCCTCTGTGATTATTAGTTCCCGCTAGCTTCTGTAACAAATTGCTGCGCACCTAGTGGCTTAAAATAATACATATTTATTTAGAGTTCTGGAGGGCAGAACTTGCATCTCACTGGACTAAAATCAAGGTGTCTCTAGGGTTGTGCACCCCTTGGAGGCTCTGGGAGAATGCATTTCCTTGTCTTTCTCAGCTTCTCAAGGCTACTTGTATTCTTTGGCTTGTGGCTCCCTTTTTTGTTTGTTTGGTTTTTTGGAGACAGTGTCTTGCTATGTAGTTCAGGCTGGCCCTAAACTATGTAGCCCAGGTTAGCCTTGAACTCTTTGTGATCCTCCTGCCTCTGCATCCCCAGTGCTGGGACTATAGGCATGTGCCACCATGCCCAGCTGTGGCTCCATTTTCAAAGCCAGAAACAGCTGGTTGAGTGACTCTCACATATCACTCTGACTTCTTGTATCGTCCTCTACCCTTATGGATGCTTGTGATTACACTGGGCCCTCACAGATAATTCAGGATACTCTCCCCACTTTAAGATCTGCTGAATAACAGGCTAAATTCCACTTGCAACCTTAATTCCCCTTTGCTGTATAACCTCACATACTCACAGGACTATGACATGGACATCCTTGGAGGAAGCATTATTCTGCCTGCCACATATACTTTGCCATCAGGGTCACTTGGCCTGAAGATGAACATTGGGCAATGCAGAATGACTCCCTTATCTTTTTTTTTTTGAACCGGGGATTGAACTCGGGACCTTGCCCTTGCAAGGCAGGTGCCAGAACCACTGAGCTAAATCTCTGGCCCCCTCCCTTATCTTTTTATGGTATTTACCTGGAACAATGGAGGGGACATCTTTTAATATTAAGCAAGGGAATTAGAAATCAGGATAAATGAAAGTAGGACAAGGAACTTGTTGGAGTAAAACAGAACAAGGCCACTGGTATCCACCTATGTGGGGATGGGAGTCAAAGGGAGGTGAAATCCATGAGGAATGAGCACTGTGGTCACCTATGTAAGGCTTGTATCTGGAATCACAGAGAAAATGGAGGTGTAGAAGGTGGGCCAGGGGCCCGGCCATGGAAGAGACGTAGCCCCTGTGGATCTCAGTCACCCTAAGGATGGGGAGGAGACAACTGTCAGGGCTACCTTGTAGCTAGAGGAGCACTCTGAGGTCCCACCTCTGTAGTTTCTGGGAAGTGCACTGAACCCTGAGCCTAGAGGTTGGAATTGTAGTACAGGTTTCTATCAGCCTGAGCAAGTCATGGTACCTGCGGGGCTCAACCTTCATTGGGAAATGAAGAGTGGCCTAGGTGACCCCGAGGTGCTCATGGTCCGTGCTGAGTTTCAGAGCCATGGCTATCATGGCCCTTTGCCAGGTCCACCCTGAGAATGTGGTGCTGTGATGATGACACGGAGGCCTGGAAGGCTTCCTGTTTCCATGAGAGACTTGTTCTATAGAAGGAGCTACTTGGACACTGCCGTCCTTTGGGCTTCAGCTCTCAAGGCTGCTTGCTCTTTGTGCCTTCCCAGGCTTTGCTGTCATGTGAACCCTGTCCCCAGCAGCAGCACTGTGTGAACACTCTGTGAGGTGTGTGAGCTTTGACAGGGTGGGGCCAGCATGCAGTCGCACTGCGGAAAGGAGACTGGAACAAGCACCTCTCGGCCAGTCCCCGTCCTCCCCATGGCACCCCAGCTACTTTCCAGACTGCCACTGTCCCAGCCATGGCCCCAGACCTTGTTCCTCCTCAGGGAGGGGGTTGGGGCCCCTCGTATTCCCTGAGAATCCTGTCACAGGTGTGGAGCCAAGGGCTGTGTCACCCAGCGCCAGCAGTGGTTTCTGATGACAGCGACGGTTGCACAACCATCAGCTCAGCGCCGGGGAGGACAGGTGACGAGCCCCGAGACCAGCTGTGGCTTAACTGAGGGAGACGTGGAACTTTTACCACACAAGTTTATTTAAATAAAAGTGAACACATATGCAGGCTGATGCCGAGGGGCAGGGGTGGGGAGGTGGGCAGACAGTGGGGCAGGCAGTCTGGCTGCAGGAGGGGCGGCTGGGGCCTTGGGGTGGTGCTGGGCGGGGTGTGGGGTGGGTGAGCCCAGTGCCAGGAGGTCACTTCTGTCCCGCGCATGCTCCCCTCCCTCTCCCTGATGCTTGGGCCCCCAGCACTGCCTCCTCAGCCCCCTTCCCCTCCTGACATCGGCCTTCCCCTCAACTATGGGGAAGTCAAGAGACAAAATAAATAAGAATTGGTGAGTCCTGCCCCAACCTTGGTGTGGGGAACGGAGCCAAGCCAGACCTGCTGCCCCAAGCTCGCTGTCGGCCCTGGAAAATAACAGGTAAAGTGCAAGGACAATCCAGTAAGTAAAAATATACCAATGACTTTGTCAAATATACAGCTGCTGGCTCTCAGGGAGCAGGTGGCTGGCTGGGCGGGTGGCAGCAGCACCCTGGGAAGTGTTGGCTGACACAGCGTAGAGACAACGGAAATAAATACTGGTGGGGAGTGGGCAGGGGTCCCGCCCCCTGGGCAAGTGCCACTGTTGGGGGTGCTGGGATGGGGCCTCTGCCTGCTCTCCTGGCCCATCCTCCCGAGCCCCTCACCCAGCTCCCCAATGCTGCGGCACTGACTCAAAGCACCCGGCCGGCCGACTGGCTGAAGGAAAGGACTGTAATGTGGGGTGGGCACAGGGAGGGGAGGCACGGAAGGAAGCCGTGCAGTCAGCCAGGGCTGGCACCGCACTCAGTACTCGTCCTGGTCTTCCTGTTGGTGTTCTTCAATCTCATCGTCCTCAGGGGGTGCAAACCCTTCCTGGAGGAGAAGGGAGAGGGGAGCGGTGAGCCAGCAGGCTGGGTCAGGCGGAGGGCATCGGACGGGGCCAGGAGCCCAGGGCCCTTTCCCTGCCAGTGGCTGCGTGCACCCCGGGACAGTGATGTCACCTCTCTTCTCACCTGAACATGCTCCCCAGGGTCCTTTCGGGTCCCGGCTTGCTGTGGATGTAGGGCCGGGCCAGAGGGGGCCATGGGCTGGGAAAGGGATGCTCACCTCAGTGGCATAGAGGATGCCGATGATGCCCGCGATAACTGGGCTGTTTTCACTTTCGTGCTCCTGGCAGATGAGTTCTATGTCACGCAGTTTGCTGAAGTAGAAGTCACGCTCCTTTTCCAGGCCATCCACAGTCAGCTTCAAGTCTAGGAGCTGCTCGGGCAGAAGGCAGGGTTTGAGCCGGATGTCCCTGCTTCAGACTCCCCTGTGCTCTCCTCTGTCCCGGCGGATTCCCCAAGATGCCTTAGACTTTGTGGCAGGGTCACCCTTACCCATCCCCTTTACCTGTTGGTTGAGTTCAAGAATTTGGGCATCAGTCTCCTGGCCGCCATTTCGGGCTGATGGGGGATTCTTCCGGAGGATGCAGGGTGGGGCCACGTTGCTCAGTCGGCCAGAAGTCTGCATATTCTTGGGGCCTGTGGGGGACGTCCTCTGTGGAACTGCCCAGAGGAGAAGAGTCAGATAAAGCTGGAACTCCTATGGCTGGAGACCGTCCGGTGTGAGGACTGCGGGCAGGCCCATGCGACAGGCAGACGCTCGCCCTTGGGAAGGGCATCTCCATGGAGGCCTCAGGCCTGGCCACACATGACACTACAGCAGCGAGGCAGACCTGGCAAGCCTGGGACAGCAGTGACCACGGGGAACTGAGGGAAGTGAGGGGTTGGGGCACCGAGAGAACTGCCTGAGGGAGGGTGGGGCAGCGAGTGTGGGGAAGTGGGGATCAGGGCTCTTTTATCGACAGCTAGAGCCCGAGGAAAAGCAGCTGGCACAGGTCTCCCCAGCAGAAACCCCCGCCCAACGCCCTCCCCGTGACGCTTGGGCCTGCCCCTCCGGGTCCGTTGCAGGATGGGCTCTGTCAGTGCTGCGGGGACCTCAGCTCTTCCTCTGCACACGCAGCCTGCATGCTGTGGCCACTTGCTTTCTAGCGCTGCACCTCTCTTGACAGAGCGGGTGCTTCTAATGCCAAGCAAGCAGGTGAGTGGGGACAGGCCCAGGCGGGACAGCAGTGCAAAATGGAGGAGGTGGCTCTGCTATGACGGGTCAGACGCGGGCTGGGGCTGCTCCTCTCCCTTCCCCTCCCCAACCCTGCTGTCCCCCAAAAGCCCCATTGCTTCTTTCCCTGTCCCTCCAACACTGGACAGACTCAATGCTCAAGACTCATCTCAAGGATTTGAGTTAGGGGAGAATAGGGTCACGCTTGGCAAACTCCTGCCCCTGGTTATCCAGGGGGCAGGGGCAAGAAAGGGCTGTGGGGCTGGCACCAGGCCCGTGGCCTGATGGTCCTGGACGGAGGAAACTTGCCACCTTGCTGCCCCATTATCTTGAGGCAAACAGGTGAGCTCATGCTATGAGAAGAAGTGCCCTGGGCCGCAGCTGCCATGTGCAAGTGGCTCTCCTCACAGAGCAATTTTTGGAGCCCTCTCAGCCCCCATGGGGACTCCCCAGCCTAAGTGGGCAGCAGGCGGCGTCATCTGAACTCCGTGATAACAGTCTCCTCCAGGGTGGCAGGGCCAGGCCGGTGGCCCAGGGGGCGCTCCAGGGTGGACAGCCCTGCCGGCCCGGCCCTCAAGCCCCTCCCCCGGCTCGGGCACATTACCTGCTGTGCCAATGAGTTTCTTGGATTTGTTGAAGATCTGATCACCTGGGTTAGGAGGTGGTGCTACGTCCTGGCCCTGCCGCGCCAGCAGAGGGTTGTAATCCTTTCCATCATAGTTTGCGTCAAAGAATTTCTTAAACCACTGAATAAACTCAAAATTATCTTGGAATTTTCCTTTCACTAATTTCTCTACAGGAATGATCTGAAATAGACCACACAAGCACAGCACTTTAGCCACCTGCTGCGGAGGCCCGCCCTCCTCTGTGAGAGGGGCACTGCCCTCAGGAAAGCAGGCCCTGGCTGCAGCACTGCCCACCTTCACCACCTGCCCCCTCCCATGGCCCCAGAGCAGGCGGGCGGCAGGCAGGTGGGCCAGCCCTGCCACGGGTCCTGCAGGTACAGGAGGAACTGCGTGGGCACGCTTCCCTTGGTCCTGCTGCCCACATGTGGGCTGGAGGCTCAGGACCAACAGCCCTGGGACCGTCAAGGCAGGAGAATGAGCCAAGAGACTTTTCTTGGGCCCTATGGAGAGACACAACACGAGCAGGACATTGAACCTGTATCAGGGCAGGTGGGTCGGTGGAGGAGAGGGAAGGGAATGTTGGTCAGATGGGATGTGCCTTGAGCTGGGGGAGCGATCCCTTTGGAGTTGGGGTGGGCGGGGAGAGATGTATGCAGAACAACCCAAGCAGCCCAGCACCCTGGTTGTCAGGCCATCTTCTTCCCCAGGGGCACAGCTCCTCAGGGCCCCCGGGGTGCAGGCACCTACTTTGTCAACCCCCATCTTCTTGAAAGCTGCTTGCAGCACCTTGAAGTTGTGGATGTATTCGTGTTCTAGTTTGGCCTGGAACTTGACCTTCCTCAAGTGCACACAGCCAGGGAAGAGCATGTCCATGAACTGGCAGTAGGCTGCCCCTGTGGAGAGGTACAGCTGACTGAGGCAGGTCCCAGCCGCTCTCACTCCCTAGGCCCTTTGCTGGTCTCTTCCACAACCTGGATCTCTCTCCTCTCCTTATTCTGGGGCTGGCCCAATCCTACTTTCAGACCAGACATCACCACACTCCCCTAGCTTTCCAAGAGTAAGCACAGTTAGTATTTACCGATGCATACCGTATCCTAGTAACTACAATGGGCACAGTAAGTAGGTAAGAGCATTTCCATCATATAGATGGGCAAACTGCTATCTAGAGAGATGCAGTGACTTGTCCAGGGCTGCAGCAGGCAGATGAGGCGCTGAAAGTTGGACCCAGAGTGGCTACATTGGCGCTCGTGCTGTTACTCTGCAGCTTCTGCCTGTAATGGCTCTCGATACCCCACTTTCCCTGCCCCGCTCCCTGACTTCTGCTCCCGGTGGTGTGACTGCTGTGGTCTCCCCAGCTCTCCTCCATGCTTTACAAGTGCCTTCCCCGCTTTGCTGTTCTGCCTTCCGGCCTTCCCTTCCCTGCCCTCCAGCAGGGCCACTCCCGGGTCACAGCCTCCTACCTGAACAGAGCTGTTCTATCTTGGTGTAGTTGAGGTGCAGGGAGTCATTGACCCATGCAAGCATATCATGGCGACTCAGATTTTCACTGGTCACAGATGTGGAGTACACATTGACGGCCATTCCCCAGCTGCACAGAAAGGAGAGAGGTGAGGTCAGCAGGAGAGGCAAGGAGAGGAGGGGCCGGCGGCCCTGGGAAAGAGCTGCCTTGCCCTCAGACCAGTCCTGCCGTTCACTCTCCAAGAGAAGGGGCCTGTGGTCATTCTTTACACATTTAACTAGCGTCTACCATGTGCTATGCATGTCTAAGAGCTGGTGATACAGAGTTAATTAACAGACAGTCTCTGCTTCCCTGGAGTTTGGACAGGCAAATCTCCCCAGCAGTGGGAGACAGGGCCTTAAGAGAAGCACAGAAGGGCCGGGGATTTAGCTCAGTGGTTTCACCACCTGCTGTGCAAGGGCAAGGACCCGAGTTCAATCCCTGGTGCCAAAAAAAAAAAAAAAAGAAAAGAGAAGCACAGAAAGTTCAAAGGTGCACAAACAAGGGCGTGATCTCTTCTGCTTGGCAGGGTCAGTGAGGGCTTCCAAGCAGACATTTTGGAGCCTAAAAGGGGATGGAATTTCCCAGACATACAAAGGATGGGGTAGAGGGCACTGTAGGCCGAGGAGTAGTAAGAACAAAGGCATGGGCTATTCCGGGACTCTGAGTGGCTCGTCCAGCAGGCCTAGGGAACAGGCTCTACATTGGGGTGTGGTACAATGGGGTTGGCAGGGCCAGATCTGGAAGGGCTTTGTTTGCCATGAGGAGTAGTCTGGATTTCCCCCCAGCAGGCGGGTGTGTGTATGTGTGTGTGTGTGTGTGTGTGTGTGTGTGTCAGTGTGAAGCCAGCAAAGGACTTTAAAGTGACTAGTAACCTGATCAGATTTGTCTTCCAGAAGCCAACTAACCTTTGCTTCTCCTCTGACTTCAGACTCCCTGTTCCTGCGTCCTACAGCCCACTGGCTGCCCCGGAGGCACCTAAATTCTACTTGTCCAGAAACTCTTAAAACATGCATTTGCGGGCCTGGGATTTAGCTCAGTGATGCTGCAGCCTGCCTCTCAAGTGCAAAGTCCTGAGTTCGATCCCAGGTACAAAAAAACCAAAAAACCAAAAACCATGCATTTGCTCCTGTATCCATTATCGAAGTCAATGTCACCACTGACTCCATTCACCTGAGTTAGAAACATGTGGGGTCACCGCAGCCAGTTGGCTCTTGTTCCTACAAACAGCTATCTGTTCCCACCTCAACTCCCCCTCCTCAATATGCTGGGCTCTGCCCACCCTTGGGCTTACTTTTTCTTTAGCCAAAGCCACCAGGAACCTCCTAAAAGGTCTTCCAGCCTTCAGCCCCTCCCTCCTCCACTCCATCCCCAACTGTTGTTTGTCTGAAAGCAGGCCTGGCCACCCACAACCCAGCTCTAAGCCCATAAGACGCTGTGACTGAATTTGCCTTGCAGGCTCGAACTGCATAGCACCCATAATGTGGGAAATTTGAGACAGTGCCCAATATTTTAAAATTGGGATGTTTCATACAAACAGTGTGGGATTTCCGGCCTCTTTTGGCAACTCTGGACCTGTGTGCCTGCCTTGCAACCAACAGGTGGTGCTGAGCAGAGGTGGCCCCATCTGGACAGCAGCTGTGAGTGCCTCCCTACCCACACCCTTACAGAGGCCAAAGGTCAGCTGCTGTTTAGCACTGTTGAGAAGAGGGAACTATTTTTTTTTTGGACTGGGGATCGAACTCAGGACCTTGCGCTTGCGAGGCAGGCAGCAGCCACTGAGCTAAATCCTCGGCCCTGGGAACTATTTCTCCTAAGTAGGTCCTTATCAGAAACAGGGGAAGAGGACAGGCCAAAAGGACTATGTATTCTGGAACTGTGAGAGCCATATTTCTGGAGTGAATACTGTTTCCCCAGTTTAATCTGCAGGGTCTCTATGAAGTAAGAATATGCCCAGCACACTTCCCTGTCCCTTAGGCAGCTGCTGCTTTAATGTGGCCCCACCCTACCACTTATCCAATCCGGAGCAGACCCCAGCTCTCCAGCCTTCTCTCCCCACTCCCCCGAGTCGGGACTGTGCCCACCCCAAGGTGCCCCATTCACTGCTGCAGTGGTTCTCAAACTGTGGGCCCTGCACCAGCAGCAATGGGGCTGAGTACCAGCTTGTTGGAAATTCCATCCAATTCTTGTGCTATAGCCGAGACCTACTGAATCAGGATCTCCCTTTGACCAAGAGGCGCGGTGGCTCTGCAGGCACAGGCACTGCTTGGGTGGGGGGTGCAGTTTGGCACCCGCTGGGTGCTATCATTGTCCCACCCCCGGCCTTGACTCTATGCATGTTCACCTAGGGGACCTCCTTATACGGACATTTAACTTAAATGAGCTTTTCTAAATAAAAACCATGAGATAAAACCCTCTTATTTATCCCTAGTCCTTCATCCTTTAAAAAATAAACCTTGTCCTTTGCTGCTCAGGGAAAGGGAGCCCAGGCAGGGCTCAGAAACCAAGAAAAACAAACATTATTGTCCTGGGAGCTTCTGGAGACTCAGGACCTGGCAATTTCAGAAATTTCCCAGAGTAGATTTTTGACTGCACTTGAGCTTTTTAGACAATGGCTTTGTGTCCACTGCCCTGTACCCCAACCCTCACACTTGCCACCAGACTTGTCATCCACCCGCCAGCCACCCCCCACCCCGTCAGGAAGTGCCTAGAAGCCGAGAGTGGGTTTGTCACAGCACAGAGTTCAGAAACGTTGTTGAGTGACTGAGTGGCACCTCTTTGTGTCCTCTGTCTTTCTGATTTATCTTTCCTCACCATCTGGTCTAGGTCCCCCACATCTACCTCACCTGTAGGACTTGGCTTCAGAATCCTCTCTAGGAAAAATTTTGTGAAGCCCTGTGTAGGATTCATGCCCCTCCTCTGTCTATAGCACCCTGACATGGCTCAACAAGGCACTCGTCAAATTCTTGTTTTTTTTTTTTTTTTTTTTGGTGCCGGGGTTCAAACTCAGGCCCTTGGGTTTTTTTTTTTTTTTTGGTACCGGGGATCGAACTCCAGTCCTTGCGCTTGCGCAGCAGACACTAAATCCCCGGCCTTGTCACATTCTTGTGAAATCATCTATGTGCCCGTCCCTTCCACCTGACTGTGAGCTCTTCAGCAGCCAGGCTGTTTTGTTTTTCTTTGGGATCCAGACCAATCCTCAGTGAACAGTAACCACTTAAGCAGGTTGGTGGAAGGGAATGGCAGATTCTGGCATTAGAAAGCATTTCTGAGCTTCTAGGGGACTCAAAGTACCAGCAGTGGGAGTGGACTGGGATGGGTGGAGACTGAGCTTCTAAGAAAGTACAATGGGAAGAGTCAAGGAAAGTGTATTTTATTTCCATGAGTATTTATTTTGCTATGAACTGTGAGGAATTGAAAAGATTTGCCCCACCCCTAATGAATTTAGAGTCTCCCTGGGGAGAAGATGTGAGAATAGTAGAGCCAAATGCCCCCAAATGCCCCCAAATGGGGTGCAAATAAGTGCGAGGGCAAGTCAGGAGGGAGGGAGCATGCAGACCAGGGAGGTGGATCTGAACGCTCCTGTGTGGGAGTGGTCAGACTGCCTGGTCTGTGGAGGCCAACCGGGGCTGGCTGTGTGTGGGCATGAGCTGCTCTGGCAACTGGTCCAAAGGACTATGGGGAACTTTCCACAGGCTCACAGATTCTCCACGAGGCCCTGGGGCCATTCTGTCTCTGGCCCCTGGGGCTGCATGAGTCCTGGTCAGCTGTGATGGTACTATTCTGGGCCTCAGAGGATCTGGGCTGGCCAGAGGTGGTTCTGAGGGAGTAGGGTGTTCTTAGCTTGGCCTTGGGAATTCCTGAGCCCATTAGGGACTCTGTTCTGTTTAATGGTTACGGTTTCAAAGGCTGACTACTGAAAAAAGTGGAGGCAATACTCCTACTCCAAATGTGCGCTCTGGTTTTTGAGGGCAGCCCTCTTGGGGTTCCACAGGGCTAGATTTACTGATGGCTTAGGCCCACTCCACAAATTCCATGGTTTCCTCACTTTGGAGAAGCCTGTGTGTGTGTGTGGTAAGTAGTAGTTGTTTTTTTCTGGTACCAGGGATCAAACTCAGCAGCTTGTGCTTGTGAGGCAGGTGCAGCGCCACTGAGCTAAAATTGCTGGCCCCACAGAGTTTTTTTTTTAATACCCAAGGTGATTCTGGTACACAGCCCTCATCTGGTGCTTAGCTGAGATTCACAGGCCTGTGTTGCAGTGGCATAGGCTGGGAGATTGGGATGTTTTGTCACTTCCCTGGAGGAGGGTTTAAGCCAGCATCCTCCTTGGTACCAAGAAAAATCTTTTTTTCCTGGAGTTTAGAACACAGCTGAATACCCTGCTATCAGGAGTCACCAAGAGCTACATAGCTACTTGAAAAATGTGCAGGTCTTCTCAGCTTGGCCCAAACTCCCAGTTCTGCCAGGGCCTGAGGATGAAAGGGCAATTCCCACTCCTCTGATCACTCTGAACCTAGGTCCTTAAGTGCAGCAGTGCAGGGCCGAGGGTGTAGCTCACAGTGCTAGAGCTCCTGTCTAGCATGTGCAAGGCCCTGCGTTTCAACCCTAGTACCACAAAAGACCCAAAATTGTATCCAAAGTGGCAACTGCCTACAGAAGGGAATGGAAAAAAAAGTGCCCCTTTCAGGGCCCAGTAATCAATCATGCTGTCACCCTATGTGGTTTTTAGTTAATACTAGGTCCAGAGCCTTTGTCACACAGAGGACTGGTTCAGGTTTGTCCTTGGACGAGTCCTGAGCAGCTCTCTGCTCTGCTTGGGATCCATCTTGGCTCAGGAGTCATCCAAGGCACCTATGGGTCTCTGCAAGGAGCCTGTCACCCCTGCTGGAGCTTCACAAAGAAAGCAGGCCTCCCCTTTCCTTATCCCTTGTCATGCTGGGAAGACGAGTGCCCTTTACATTTTTCTGTCCTGGGTTTGGCCCTGTATATGGAGCTAAACACGGCCAGTAGGTGGCACCCAGGTCCTAAGCAAAGACTCCTTCAACGGCTTCTTCATCCTCTAATCCCTTTTCCCTGGCTCATTTAGGAAG